CGCGGCAGGGAAGAAAACCAGACCCCACGAAGCATGTGGGGAATACTGCACACAAGAGTAATCACGCTACTATTTATAATACTGGTAATGGTAGTAATAATAATCATAGTACTGAGATTCGTATGAACCAACCATAACAATAACGATACGAATCGTATCACTAGAACCAGCAATAATACGAATAGTATTACTCACCAGAATACTGATACGTATACGAATGAGAAGGATCGTGAGGAGGAGGAGGAGGAGAAGGAGGAGGAGGCGGGGGGCGAGGAGGGAGGAGGAGGACGAGGATGAGGAGGAGGAGGAGTAGGAGGAGGAAAAGGAGGGGCAGGAGGAGGAGGAGGAGGAAAAGGAAGAGAAGGAAGAGGAGGAAGAGGAGGAGGAGGGAGGGAGGGGTGAGGAGGGAGGAGGGAGGAGGCGGAGAAGGCGGAGGAGGAGGAGGAGAAGGAGGAGAAGGAGGAGAAGGAGGACAGGGAGGGAGAGGGGGAGAGGGAGGGAGAGGGGGAGGGGTTGGTTGGTCGGTTGGTGTCCTCCTAGCGAGGCGGTGTTGTGGGGACGCGGGCACGGCCCCTTTAGCAGAGGGCAGCAAGGCTGGAGGATGGCGACTGCCGCGACCACGCAGCGTTCGCTCAGGAGAAGGAACAACAGCCTACGGTGCTAGAGGAAAGAGGAAGGGGACGACGGGGGGCGGACCAAGGAACGCCCGACTGAGCCTGGCTCCGCGCTTCTCCTAGGACCGCGCAGAAGGAGCCGCTCCTTGGCCCTGGAAGCGAACGCGATGGAGAAGAGGAGAAGGCCCGGGGAGGGGGGCCTCACGGCGACCCCCTCCCACGGGGACCCCCGCCCGCACTCCCGGCCGCCTCGTGCCAGCGCAGGACGCAGCTGCGAGACTGCGAGAACGGAGCGAGAGGTGGTCATTCCGAAAGAAGCAAAGATTTGTATCGGTCGGCTCCTGGTGGCCTGGCCCAGGATGACGCCTCCTCCTTGGCCGCCTCTGCGTAGCCAGCTTGCCCGTGTCGCGGGCTCAGTCTCGCTCTTGCGGTGGCCTCCCGCTCAGGCGGAGCGTCCGATCGGCGAGTTCGCCAACAGGCCTGCCTCGTGGTCTCCGTCCGATCGCATGCTGCAAGAACGTGGAAAGTGGGGCTGTGCCAACGCTGGCGACGAGCCGAAGAAGGCGCCCCGCCGATGTGCGCGAGGCGGACAATGCGAGGGCGCAATCGGGCGAGTGGTCGCTGGCCCTGGAGCTCAGCCCAGCTCAGGCCTGACGACGTGGCTCGGCGTAGATCCAGCCGGAACCCCCACCCAGGGACAAGTGAGGCAACGGTCGCACGTGCTTGGCGAGCTCGTGGTTGAGCAGCCTGCGGCATCGTTCCTTCGCTGGCTCCCTGACCGTGGCTTGGAACGCTTCCGGGCTGGACCCGGGGAAAGCGCGTTCCCAGGCTGGCCAATCCGGCAGGTCCCAAGACTCGAGGAGCTGCAGGGAAGTGCACGACCAAGTCCTACCTACCAGGCACCAAATAGGCACGGATGAAGACACTTCTGTATAAATCCGAGTCCGGAAGCTTCAAAAGACTTGCGCGTGGGGGAGCAAAATCGAGCAACGCACGACCGGAGCCTGAAAGCGTCCATCCTAGTTCGCCACCGCCGGAACGGCAGGTTTCTTGAGGGAACTTTCCAGGAAGGCCCTCGCCCAGGACAAGTAGGCTTCGTCCAACTTGAGAGCTGCCCCGTCCGCTATGGCAAGCAGCCACCTGCCGAAGCGGAGTAAGGAGTCGGTTTTCGTTTCGAAATTCTTTGCCGCCACGGCCAAGGGAAGGAGTCCACTGGAGACCTGACCTGCTAAAGTAGAACACTGGGCAGATGGCGTCCAAGCGGGAAGCCAGTGGACGCTCCAAGCGCAGATCTCGTTGCCATTGCAGACCTAACCGTTTGTGTGACTTTGGCATATGCAGCTGGACTGGCTGAGTCCCCCGCAAAGGGAGGAGAAGGGGCGGTGCAGCTCCGCCCGCCGTTCCAGCCAGCGCCCCGCCGTGGACCATGACAGCATGATTGGTGGCTTTGGTGTGAGGCGAGGTCTTCTGGCGAAAGGCCCAATCCGCAAGCATGGCCTGCGACCTCTGTGCGGCCCCTCGGGATGATGCGAGTAGCGCGGGGTCGTTCGCGTGGAGAATAACTGCCATGCGCCGTGGGGCTGAGGCGTTTACGGCCGCGAGGGCGGACGCCTACATATTCACGTCGGCATCGAGGTCCTTGGCGGCGGGGAGCGGCAAGTTCTCCTGCAGGGAACGTAGCAACTCAGACGTACGCTTCGCATTTGGCTCCCCGGTGCCGCGCCATGGGTGACGTGCCCGAGCCCGTGTACAGCGGACGCCGCTGCCGAATCCACACCCTTCGGGGAGCAGAGTTTCGAGCAGGGAATCCATGTGCGCGGGGAAAATCAGGGGTCCGATGGCCCCCCTTTTGCCATCCCTTTGGGTGGGGGTAACTGTTTGGACATCGTTGTAGTTCACGCGGACTCGGTCTGACTCCAACATGTTAGAAAGCAGTGAGAAGACACCGTTTGATAAACCAACAGCGTCCCTGAGCCTGACCAGCAGCGACTCCCGCCAACTTCGCGGGAATGCTTTCCGGAGGTATCCGAACATTGCCCGCAAGGGTCTCCTTATGAAGGCGGCCTCCGCTGCCAGTTCATGGAGTAAGAGCTGAGCGTCGCCCACGTCGCGGATGTACCCAATTTGCCCCGGCGTGGGTCTATCCCACAGGTCTGGGCGGACACGGAAGAACAGGTAGAGTTTGGAGGAGGCCCACCTGGGACTGAATCGTGATAAGACGAGAAACATCCCCTCTGTCCCAGAGGCCTTCTTCGTGCAGGGGCACAGCACAATGACCCCGCCAATCTTTGGGGCGAACCGCTAAGCAACCAGGACCAGTAAGCCTCAGGAGAATCCAGACGACCGCGCCCAGACGGGCATCTCCGAGCAAGAGGACGATTCTCGGCAGAAGGTCCGGGGTTGTAGCCCCCGTGGTGCCTAGCGTGTCGATGGCCTTTGTGACCTGTGCTTTAGAGACTGCTCTGTCGTGGGGGCCCTGCCCGCGGCGCGAACGAGCGCGGCCCACCAGCCCAGGAGGCGGGTTCGGATTTGAGCAGGAAGGGGGATGGGGAGGGAGCGGGGGAGGGGGAGGGGGAGGGAGATGGGGGAGGGGGAGGGGGAGGGGGAGGAGGAGGAGGAGGAGGAGGAGGAGGGAGGAGGAGGAGGAGGAGGAGGAGGAGGAGGAGGAGGGAGGAGGAGGAGGAGGAGGAGGAGGAGGAGGAGCAGGAGGAGGGAAGGAGCAGCAGGAGGAGGAGGGAGAAGAGGAGGAGGAGGCGGAGGAGCTTGAGCAGAGGTTTGGGGCGGAAGCGCAGGACATACTCGACGTCTCCGGCGAGGAGGTCCTGCCGCCCGCCTCTGCTCTCTTCCCGTGCCTTCCTGTCCCCCTATCTCCGGGGAGTTTGAAGTCAACGACCGCCTCGGGCGAACTCGGGCAATCGTCACGACGACGAAGTGAGGCCCACTTGGGGCCCAGGAGCGGCTCTGGTGTTCTGGCCCCTCCTCAGAGCTGGGTCGGGGATCCTGTCCGAGGCCGATGTTCGCCGAGGCCAGCGCCGCCCCCTCGTTCCTCGTTTATCGTTCCATGCGGTAGCACGGCGACTGTTCGGGGGCGGAAAAGAGGGTGGTGATGACTAGGGGGGGGTGGATATCATGGCGTGGGCCATGATATTTCCCCAGATTTCATGGCGCCTCTTCTTATTTCATTATGTCCCTGGCCCCCCCCGCTGGGCCGCGCACATGCCGCCGGTCATGATTTGCACCCCCCCCTCTTGGACGCCCGCCTCTTTGCCGTTCCCGAATTGTATGTCCGAGAATGACGATGTCGTCGATATCCCCTCGGGCGGCTGTGTGGGTCTGGAGTCGTCTTGCTCTTGGGGGGTGGGATTGCCCCCGTGGCCGCTGCTGGGCGCGCCCGTCGACGCCATCGGGGAGGGCTTCGAAGGCCGACTTGTGGGGAGAAGGCCTGTGGCGCTTTCCGGTCTTGGATGGCAGATTCAGCCTGCTTCTATTCGGACCTGTGCCAGATACCGTTCTCACGCTCTACCACAGGCGTCCATGGACACAATTGGTGCTGTTACGTCGATACACAAATTCGGTCTGGACACGCCTTCGACGATGTACAGATCCGTCTACGGAACATTGCTGCGTTGTGTTCGTGCCACAGTTCATCGCCGATCCCAGGAAAATATGAGAATTGGGGGGAAGGCGACATTCCATAAAATATGGAAAGTATGGGGTCACCTGGGATTTGTGTGTATTTCTGTGCGTTCCTGACCCCCTTCATTGGCACTCCAGTGACGATCCCCTCTCAGGAGCTCCCTGCCCTCTCACAAAGCATCGCCCTCGCTCTGCCGTGAGCCCAGAGTGTGTGTGTGTGTGTGTGTGTGTGCGTGCGTGCGTGCGTGCGTGCGTGCGTGCGTGCGTGCGTGCGTGCGTGCGTGCGTGCGTGCGTGCGTGCGTGCGTGCGTGTGTGTGTGTGTGTGTGTGTGTGTGTGTGTGTGTGTGTGTGTGCGTGCGTGCGTGCGTGCGTGCGTGCGTGCGTGCGTGCGTCCTGCCTGGGAGAGCTTTCCGCTTTCGATAGTCCCAGATATGTGCTCATCGTCGTCACCCCAACCACCCCAACATACTCTGACTATGTGTGCGTCGCCCCCCCCCCAGGGGCAACGCGCGCACCGAGAAGTCTTATAGGATGCGCGTCGTGGCGGGCGCTTTTTGGCCGTACTGCTCGGGAGCGATCTATTACGAGACGCGCGCCTCCAAGGAGGACATCTAATGTTAGTATGCCTCTGTGCGTCCCAGCTCATGCCCTGTGAAGTGTTGACACGTTGTTGCAACTTTGCCGCCGGTGCCGCGGTGCATATCCATGTCGCATGCCATGACAACGTTGCGCCGCAGTTGAATCGGAAGCCATGCGCTCCGCTCCACGGCCCGGCCGGAGGCTCTGGAGATCATCCGCAGCGACACCACGCCGTTGCTTGTCGAGCCCGACGGCGCTCGCGCTCTCCTGCTTTGTTGCTTGCTCTGCGTCGGTGCTTGGCTGATGTCGGCGAGCACGCTGGCTTGACGCGTGCGCGCCCCGTCGCGCATTGCGAAGGCAACGATTGCGACACTCTGCGTCCCGGCTCCAAGCGCCGACGCTACGAACTGCTCCCAGCCTCCCGCCTTGCAGAAAGCAGCGACACGGCTGCAGGGCGCGGCGCGTTGCCGGGGCCGTGGCCGCCGCCAAGACACGCGGAAAGAGTTCCCGACCGCACGGAGAGGGGTTCAGGTTCGAGGGCGCGCTGGTGAAGGGCGCGCATCGAGAAAACGCCTGCTCCGCTCCCTTGGGGTCATCCCCTCTGCCGCCCTCTTCCGCCCTCCCTCTTCTTTCCCCCCCGCCTCATATGTTGCTCCCATCGCCTCTTCCGGGTAACCCCTTCGCATTTGCCACGCGTTCCGGCCTCCGTGAGCGGCGGCGCGCACCGCGTTTCCGTCATCCCCTGCGGTGGCAGCTTCGAGCCTTGGGTTCCGTTCCAGCAAGGGTTGTCCTTTGGAGGGAGATGCTGCACTTCGCCCTTGCTTCAGTTCCAATAAGGCTCGGCGGCGAGCGAGGGGGGGGAAGTGAGGAGGAGAAATTGAAGGCCTTCTCAGAAGGTTCGGAAGTCCCCCAGCCTTCTGAGGAGTTTTCAAAGCCTTCCCCGAAGACAAACAAACATTTCTATGAGGGCGTGAGGGCTTCTGAGAAGTCCCGCCGGCTTCTGAGAAGGCCTTCTCCTTCTCGTTTCCCCCCTTCTCACTACCCACCAAACCACCCCAACCCAACCCGAAGGTCTCGATTTGCCCTCCATTTCTAGTTGGGGGGGGTCGGGGAACATCGAGGAAACACATGTGGAACCCGTACCCTCCCCAACCCGAAATTCGGGTCTTCGGGTTGGGTTGGGGTGGTCTGGTAGGTAGTCACCTTCGCTCGCCGCCGAAAGTCTGGGGTGCTTCTTGAGTGGGGCCCGTGCTGTGCCCGCGTTCGAGCCGGCCGTCGGTCCGAACATCCGACAGGGGTGTCCTCGGCTATCCCTCCAAGAGCAGGGGATGGAGCGAGCCGCAGCCCTCCAGACTCCAGGCCTGCCCAGTGGGGTCCGAGCAGATGGCGTCGTTGGACCGCCAGCGCAGGAGCAGCGGCAACAACAACAACAACACTCAGTTTAAGGCTGTTCGCTCTTATCTGCTCGAGTGCCATCCAGCGTGTATTTCCCAAACTCTCGATACCTGCCTTCTTCGTCCTCGGTCGAACCCCGCTACGGGGCATGTCTGCCTTACTTGCCACGTGCATTTATTAGTGCAGCCCCTAAACCAAAGGTAGAGAAGACGGGTGGAAGGAGGAGGGAGAATAATGGAGCACGAGAGAAGTCACAGGAGGGGGGCAAGGAGCAGAAAACAAGCTGTAGAAACAGACGGGCGCACAGGGTGGGCAGACCCATAGCTGGCAGGTCGGGAAGTCGAGCCCAGGCGACCAGGCCGAGCAGGTGGGTTGCTGAAGCGTGGGTCCTGCATGAATCGCGAGGAAGTCTCGAGGGATAGCGCGACTCCCAAGTAATCGTGAGAAAAGCCAAAGCGAGATCATAATTCCTGAGCGCCGAGGGCGCTTGTTTGAATAAGCTACGAGGAAATCCCACGCGAAAACGCGATTCGTATTCACATTGTGAGGAAGTCCCGCGCGAGAGCGCGATTTGGCAAATACGTTGTGAGGAAGTATCAGGCGGGAGCCGTTGTTGTCATAGCCCGGGGGCCAACAACCCAGTTTGACCACCGTGAATTTCCTTGATAAGAAAAGCAGGGTGCGAGCCCTGGGGGAAGCACTTTAATCGAAAGAGTTCAATGGCTACCAGAGGGGGACCAAAAATACTTATTCTTCAGTCGTGAGAGTTCAACAACAACAGCAGCAACAATCATGCTGCTAAGTTTTTGTCGCTCGTACCTGTTCGCATGCCATCCAACCCGTATGCTCGGTAACCCGTGGTAATCGTCTTCGATCGTCCCCCCCTGTGAGGATACATCTTCCCAACCTGCCGCGTGTCATTGGCGCAGCCCTTCAAGCAGGGGAAGAGACGACGGAGGAAGGGGGTATGGGAGAAGGATGGAGCAGCAGATAAATTAGCAGGAGGGGGGCTGGGAGCAGAAAAGACGTGGCAGGACCAGTCGGGCAGAACGGGCGGGTAGACCCCAGCGGGCGGGTCGGGAAGGCAGGCCCAGGCGGCCAAGTCGAGCAGGCTGGTTGCTGGGTGCGTCGTGCATGAATCGCGAGGAAGCCTCGAGCGATAGCGCGATTCCCCAGCAAATCGTCCGAAAAGCAAGAACGAGAACGTTCTTTCTGAGTGTCGAGGGCGCGGTGTTTGAATACATTGTAGGGAAGTGCCACGCGAGAGCGCGGTTCCTGCAGACATTCAGAGGAAATCCCGCGCGAGAGCGCGATTCTGGAATCACTTGTGAGGAAGTATCAGACGGGAACCGTTGTTGTTGGTCGGAGGCCAAGGGCGCAGTTTGGTGACACCCCGTTATTCTTCAAAATAAACATGCGAGCCCCGGGAGGAGCACTTCAATTGAAAAATACGCTGGTTACCCGAGATTGGGGATCAACAGTATTCACCCTTCAGAAGTGAGAGCTCCACATCAGCAGGCTGCTCCCATTCTGGCTCCGCGTCGCCGAGGCATCGGCGATGCCGCTCGATGTTGTGCCCGACTCTCCACGCCGACTTCGCCGGTGCATCTGCGGTGCATCGGCGATGCGGCACGATCTGCACACCCCATCTGCTCGAAGCCCATCTGGGAGGCCTCCCGACATTCCCGAAGAGTTCGGAGAAGCTTCAGCTGTGCTGTCCCAGGGGGCCTTGATTCCGGGAGCGCGAGCAGGTAGTGTTTGCGCGTGGCGCATGGCACCCAGAAGCGCTGGGGATTACCGCTCGGTGAGAGGGCGGTGCGTTGCTTCGCGAGCTCGAGGGGGCCGCGAACGGTCAGGGTCGTTGTTTTGTCGGCTGGTCCGGGCGGCTGCCGAGTTCAGGCGTCCAGTGCGCGTTCGACCTCCTCACCGGGGTCTGCGGCAACGCGAAGGAGGCCCCCCGGGGTCTGTTGTTGGCCAGCGGGACCTGGAGAAACTTGCGGCCTCCAGCTCGCAGGTATCGCTCGCAGTGCCTCTAGGAGAGGGGGGAGGGGAAGGAGGGAGGGTGGGAGGGAGTGACGGTGGAGAGGAGGCAGTGAGGAAGGAAGAGGTAGGGAGGAGGCCGGGAAACTGCAAGGAGCGAGCGGGGGCCGACTGGAAGGAGGGATGAGGGACGGGGCCAGGGTCCGGTTCGGCCGGTACGGGTCGAAGGCCGGTTTGTTTTAGCCGGTTCGGTTCGAGGACCCGCCCTCGGTCTTCGGTCCAGCTTGTGGCCATCAGGGGAGAGAGAGAGGGAGGAGGAGAGGGAGAGCGGGGGGCTAGAGAGAGAGAGAGAGAAAGAGAGACAGAGGGGGGGGGATGGAGAGCGAGGGAGAGATCGCGAGGTTGGGAGAGAGAGCGAGAGGACGAGGAGGACGAGGAGGACGAGGACGAGGAGGACGAGGGCATGGAGGGGAGGCCGGCCCTCGGCGGCGCGACCGCGATCTCTCGGCGGCCTCCGCGCGGCCGGTCCCCGTGGGCTCTGCGGGGGTCTGCGCGCTGCAGGTTTTCGTTTGGCCCCGGCCTCGGCTGTCGGTCAAGCAGTGGCGAAGCGTCCTGTTTTGCCTATAGCCCTGCCAAGCAATGTGCTAAGAACCTTTTGTGGTTCCCATGACATGTTCTCAGAACATTTCTGGCGGAGTCTGTCTTATTTTAGCACAGCGGGTTGATGTTCTGAGAAGCTTGTGTTCGTTATTCGAACATTTTTGAGTTCTAAGAGCATTTCGTGGTAGGACTATAGGAATGCTGGGACGGTCGGTCCCTGCTCAAGGCCTCGGCTGTTGGTGCGCTGCGAGGCGCCCTCGGGCCAGCTCACCCGAGTCGGTTGGCCGCTCCCACTCGGGAGGGACAGAAACACACAGGCACAATGAATCGCCGATCCCCAGGAAAAGGTATGGGAGGATGTGGGAAGTGGGGGGGGGAGACGAACACCCCGAAGATATAGAAGCATGGGGGGAATCCTGTTTTTTTGTGTGTGTGTGTGTATCTGTTTATATATGTGTGTGTGTGTGTGTGTGTGTGTGTGTGTGTGTCCCAGGGCCCCTTTGCGCACGGGTGCCTCCCTCCCTCTTTGCGCTGCCGGCTCGGCTGGGGGCTCGCGCTGCCCGGGCTGCGCTGCGGAGCGGTGCCGCACCGGGGTGCGCCACGCCGTGCGCATGCCGTGCTGTGCTGTGTTGTGCCGTGCTGCGCTGCGTCACCTGAGGCCTGGCATCGCTCGGACGTGTGCATTTTGCCTTCGGCGAGGACCATCGAGGAGCATCCTTCATCATTTGGCGAAAAACAAACACGCACGAGACCGAACGAGAACATAGGGAATGGACGTCCGAGCGATGGTCAGGAGGAGCAAGCCACAACATGAGCATAAACGTTCGGAGGTCCGAAAGTGCTGCTGCATAGGTATGCTGCTTCCCTTTCTCTGCAGAGTGGGTGGGCTCCGAGACGCTGGGCTGGCCGCTGCTTCCCACGGAGTGCACACGCCAGCCCCGCGGCTTGAGAAGCTCAGGCACCCGAGTTGTCGAGAGCTCTTCGTGCCCGTGGAAAGTGAGCAAACTTACGCCCAGAAACCACATGTGCCGAACCCCAGGAGCGCCCGAGTGTTCGAACAGTCGCAACTGTCTGGGCCTTGGTTGCGCCCCACTGTGCGCCAACGTTATACGGTGGCGAAAGTTGTGCGCTGCGCTGGATTCCATTATGCACATCGTTGCAAGAGAAAAATCACGATGACCATGACAAAGATGTCGCGGGATCCTGTCGTTGCCGACCTTGGTCAGGGTGCATGCCAGCCGTCGCCGATTCGCAAGTGTTGTCCGCGAACGGACGATGACGAGGATGAACGATGACCAAGATCGATCCGGGCGTTTCTGCATTCAGTCTTGATCATGGCCCTCGCTTCGTTTCCCTCCCAGCCCCGCTCGGGGAGGAGGACCACAGGCGATTCTTCTCCCTCCATCCCCGAGCTCCGCCCGAAAAATCTAGCCGCTCATTGAAAGGGGGAGACCCTGGGATACACCCCAAGGGGCATTCGGGCGCACCCCTGTCGAGGATGGACGCCCGCCCATCGTATATCCCAGGGCTGGGCCCAACATCCCTGGTCCGCTCGAAACCCTCCCACAGCCCGGGATTCGGGGTCGAGAGATCCCCTGTCAGAGGAGGGAGGGGGGGACAGCTGGAGAGGCCCTGTGCTCGATCCCGACGTCTCTGCGTTCAGCTTTGATCATGGTCCTCGCCTCGTTCCCAGCCCAGCCCCGCTCGGGGAGCAGGGGGGAGGGGTGGAACTGCCGGATGGTAAGTTTTGCTCCCGCACCGGATCCTGACCCCCGGAGATCCCCGGAGGGTTCCGGAGGTCCTCAGAGGCTCCCAGAGGCCCCAAGAGGCCCGAAACCGGCGGACCACGCCCAATAACCGCCCGGAAGCGTTCGCCATGCCCCCTCCCCTTCGGTCCTCGAGGAGGGCCGAGCGCAAAACTCGGGACTGCCGGAGAGGCCCTGGAGCTCGTGCGCAAGCACCCCGGCCTGCTCGTGGGCGGCACCAGGACGGCGCCGCGCCGCTCCGGGGGTCGGGTGGGCGGTGCCTCCGCGCCGTTCCCGGGTGGGCGCTGGGCCTGCCGAGGCCCCAGCCGCCCGGGCCTCGAGCAAGGGGCGGAGGGGGAGGAGGGGGAGGAGGGAGGGGGGGGAGGAGGAGGAGGGAGGAGGAGGAGGAGGAGGAGGAGGAGGAGGAGGAGGAGGAGGGGAGGAGGAGGAGGAGGAGGAGAGGGAGGAGGAGGAGGAGGAGGAGGAGGAGGAGAGGAGGAGGAGGAGGAGGAGGAGGAGGAGGAGGAGAGAAGGAGGGAAAGAGGAGGAGGGAGGAGGAGGAGGAGGAGGAGGAAGGAGGAGGAGGAGGAGATGGAGGAGGAGGACGAGGAGGGAGGAGGAGGAGGAGGAGGAGGAGGAGGAGGAGGAGGAGGAGGAGGAGGCGAGGAGGAGGAGGAGGATGATGAGGAGGAGGAGGAGGAGGACCAGTGGAATCCCAAGAGTCATCAGCGATGTCGGAATTGACCCTCCCTCCAAGCTCCCTTTTCACAGGCCCCTCCAACGGCTCGTTTCCGTTGAGGAAACTGCCCCGTTGGAAGACAACCGCTTGAAGATCCTGAAGCATGCCGAAACATTGTTCTCGGGATCTCAACGCCAGGCCGGGGCGCGCTGCGCGTATCATGGCGCCAACATCGCAGAGCCGATTTCGTTCTGAAAACAATGGGATGGGCCCAGAGTGTCCTGGAGAACTTCGTTCCGGATATCGAAGTGAATCTCGTGCGTGTTTCTTTGGCCAGGACCGAAGACAAAACGTCCACGTGAAATTCACTTAGTTGATCGATCGCCGTTTCGGGGTTTTGCTTCGGCAGAAATCCACGCAAAAATCCGCTGCAGCACTTCTGCAAGGCCGGCGCAGTGAAGCGTAGCTCGTCTCTTCGCGCGCCGGCGGGTGACCTGCGCAGGCCGCTCTGCTTCGAGGGAGGGGCCTCGATGGGGAAGAGTGGAGCCGGGAAGGGCAGCCGTCCCTCGTTTTTCTCCTGCTCCTTCTCTCGAAGGAAACGCCGCAAACAGAATTGTTTGCCGCTCCGCGCGGGTCTCTTGGATCCGCGCTGGGCTCCCCCTGGCGGCGCCTCCGGCGCCGCCCCTGGCGCGCTCCGCGCGCCTGGGAGGGGGGGTCCAGCGCAGACCCAAGAAATCCTTGCGGAGCGCCAGAGGTCTGTTTCTAGTCCCCCCCCGTCTTCCCGCAGCAGCATGAAGGAGGGCAGCTGCTGCTCCTTCTTTAAGGGAGGAAAAAACCACCCGGACCCGATAGTCGGCGTTTACTAAACGGCCTTGGGCGTTTACCAAAAAAGCCTTGCGTTGTCCGATTCCATCACTGGGTGCGTTTACCAGACGGCTTCGCTGGTCGGGGTGGTTTTTATGGGGGTCGTTCTCCTGCCCTCTACTTCTGCTCCTTCCCCCCCCCCCCCTTCCCCGTCCTCCCGCAGGAGCATGAAGGAGGGCACCTCGCTCGTGACAGCCACGCTGGTGGATGTGCTCTTCGCGGGCAGGCTGCTCGACATCGCGGAGGAGAGCGGCGGTCCGCGCGGAGCTCTCTGTGGGCGCCTGCTCGGCCCCCGCGGGCGGGGGTTTGCGACCGCTGTCGAGCCGCCTGCCCCTGCGGGTCCAATCGGCGGCAGGGTCTCGGACACCCCCGCTGATCCTCCCTGTCATGATGGGCAAAGTTTCCAAGTTTCCACCACCACTACCATATGTAGGACGGGGGAAAGGGGAGGTTGAGGAGGGCCTCCTCCTCCTCGTCCTCCTCCTCCTCGCCCTCCTGCCTGTGGTAGTGGTGGTGGAAAATTGGCCCATCACCTCGCTCCTCCCCTCCTCCTCGTCCTCCTCGTCAGCTTGCGCTCGCGTTTGAGGTCCGACTTTCGTGAAATGTTCGTTGCGCGCTGACGCGCCGAGGGAACGTCACTGAAATACCTACATCTTTGCCAGAGCTCGCGCCGCAGAATCATATTCAAGACCCGTTCTTTTCTTTGGGCACCAATTCTGCGCGTGGAGAAAAAAAAGACACCCCGACACCCCGACACCCCCCCAGCGGTTCACTTGGCTGCAGGAGTCTTTCGGGTTCGGGCCCCCAGCCGGTTGTTCAGGAATCTAACTTGCAGGGGCAGGGTCTGACATGCTGTTGCGCTGGCAGGGGATGGGACGATGAGGGCGGAACATTGAGCATCGAGACTGACTGCCGATGGAGACACGTGCACCTATTCGACTGACGTGTCGTACTCGCGCTGCGCATGTTCTGTTGATCATGTGTATACGGGGTGCGCGCTGTGTATGCCTAGCGTTTGTGCGTGTGTGCCCGTGCATGTGCGTGTGAATGCGCGTTTAGGTGGATCCAGCTTCTCATAGCTGTGTGAGCTGGGACGGCTCGAGCGCTTCCGCTTGATTTGACCTGCGCCGCGCCGCCGCCCGCGTGGCCGCGATGCCAAAAAGTGTATGCGTTTGTGTGTGTGCGTGTGTGCGTATGTGGGTGTGCGTGGGCGTGTGCGTGTGTGGGTGTGTGTGGGTGGGTGTTTGGGTGCGCGTGCGCGCGTGCGTGTGCTTCTGCACGGCATCCGCGAGATGGAGTGCCCAGCAGCGGGCCCAGCAGCGGTCTACTCTAATCAGTGGACTACCAATTGGTTGCATGCGAGGTTGATCCGCCTGGCTGCCAGCGCAGCCCGCAGCGGACAGAAAAAAGGTGTTTCTTCCGAGCGTGCTGACAGATCTCATCCGTGGCGTTTCCCGTCAGCCTTCTCCCACCGCTCGTGGCACCCGCCGACACGTTGCTCTTCAGTCGCTCCCTAAATATTTGTCACGACGTAGCTCTCACCAGTGTCGCTTGCGCCACGGTGTCTGGCCATTCTTGCGTCGTTCTTCCGCGTTCCCAGCATACTTGGAGACTGTTTGTTTAGGGTCTGTCGATAGTCCGTATTGTCGAACCCCCCCGTTCCCCCCCTTGCCCCAGGATAACCGGACCTTGTCGGTTGCTCAGGTCCGAAGGGGCCACGCAGTATTGGTGCGCGCGGGCATACGACGTGGAGCTGCCCGAAGCGAAAATGTTAGGTTATCCGCCGTCACCTCCCCCCCCACAAGATACCCCGGGTCGTCGCCGACACATCAGGGGACTCCTCGACGCAGCCCGCACAACGACGCCATCGTGCTTGACGTCGGCCTGCCAGCTGCCCGACCGCGGTGCGGGCCGCGCCCTCCTTCGCTCCGTTCTCCCGCACGGCGGTCTTCTCCGCCCGCCCGCGGGGAAAAACTGTTGGCCCGCGTTGTCTCTGGCGAGTGTCCCAGCCGCGCAGGGCCTCCGAAGACGGCCCTGATTGCGAGCTGGGAGCGCGAGGTTGCGGTGGCTACAGCACAGTTCTGGCCTCGTCCAGTCATGCTTTGCATCCCTCCATTGGTTGAGGTCCCACCCTCCTCCTCCCTTCCTCTCCCTCTCCCTGCACAGTGTACTGCGCAAGTGCTCCGTCCTGCAGCTGCCGCCCTCTCACTGAGCTCCGCGCGGATTTCTTGGATCGGCGTTGGACCCCCCCTTGCGGCGCCTTCGGCGCCGCCTCTGGTGCGCTCCGCGCGGATCCAGAAAATCCGCCCGGGCCTCCGAAGATTCGTGCTCATCCCGTTCTGGCTCCCGTATCTCAGTCCTGCGGCTGCCGCCCTCTTGCCCCAATCCTCATCTTTGAGCCGGCTAGACTTGTCCTCGCGCTCACTGCATTCGGACCTGCGCTCGGCATCGAGTCGCGCGTGTGCGCCTGACGGAGCAACGTGTTTGTGCGTGTGCGTGTGCGTGTGTGTGTGTGTGTGTGTGTGTGTGTGTGTGTGTGTGTGTGTCCGTTCGTGTGGTGTGCGGTTGCACTTTGAGTGTGTGCGCCCAGCAACCTGCGAATAGGCCGTTGGTGTGGCGCCGCGGATGAGAAGCAGACGTGTGTGTGTGTGTGTGGTGTGGGGTGTGGGTTGTTTGCTGTACGTTGTATGCGGGCGTAGGTGTGGGCGCGCGTGTGTGTGTGTTTGTGTGACACTGTAGTGTGTGTGTGTGTGCGTGTGGTGTTTGTGTGTGTATGTGTGTGTTGGGGCTGTATGTATGTGTGCGTGTGGTTGTGTGTGTCTGTTCTCCACCGGCTGCAACCCGTGTGTGTGTGTGGACACGCCTCGTACTCGATTGTGTGGTGTCACGTTGCCGGCGGAGGCAGAGCGTGCCCGTAACTATGCGTGTGCAGGTGTGGCGCGAGGGAGGGCGGCCTGCATTCTGTTGGAGCGCGCTCCTGTCTGCAGGTGCTCGAAGGAGAGACAACGCCATAGACTGGCCACGCGCAAAAGGGGGTAGGGGGAAGGGGGAAGGCTTCTTCGAAGCACCCCTGCTTCTTAGAAGGCGCGGGCCTTCTTTGTAGATGTAAGGCCGGCGCCTTCTAAGAAGCAGCCTCCTTCTAAGAAGCCTTCCCCCTCCCCCTGCTTGTGCGCGCCGCCAAATAGACATAAACTTTTGGCGCTCCGCGCGGGTTTCTGGGCTCCGCGCCGGGCCCCCCCCCCGGCCGCGCCTCCAGCGCGCGCCCTGGCGCGCTCCGCGCGCCGGGGAGGGGCGTCCGGCGCGGATCCGAGGAATCCGCGCGGAGCGCCAAAAGTTTTGTTCCTGGCGCTTTTCCTTCCTCTATTGGAGCGCGCTCTTGTCTGCGAGAGTGCATGCGACACTTGCTTGCGCGCGTGCTGCACGCACGCACGCAAGCCCCTCGCAACTGCAGGGCAGCCTGGGCCACGTGGGGCAGCACGCTGTACACCCCGTGGGTGCCGCAGTCTGATACTGGCCCGTGCATCGACCGTGGTCGCTACCTACACAAGCGAGCGTCGCAAAAAAGGAGGTCGTCTGCGCCGACATTGGCGCGTAAGGTGCCCGCGTAAGGTGGCGCGTAAGGTCGCGCGTAAGCGCCCTCGTCTCCAAAGTAGCGCGCCGCGCAGGCGGCCCACGTAAGCCACCGCGCAAGGTCGCTAGTTAGTCATCTCGCATAAGACCCCCTTTTTTGATCGTCGCTCCAGTGCGTCTCCATCACATCGGATGCCCCCTTTTTGCGGCTTCGCCAGCCGCTGACTGGGCGAGTGCAGCGTCAGTTTGAGAGTTCAACTGTTTCTTGAGTTCTCCTCCCAACTCTGCTCCCAGTCCTTCTTCGACTTCCATAACATCCCCCACGCTCCTGCTCAGTCATGCATGCGGAGGCTTTTGTATTGTCAGCCATCCCTGCATTCTGAGAGGAGCTCGCGGCGACCCGTCTCGGGGTGCGTGTCCCCCGAAGGCGGGGGAGGAGGTCCCCTCTCGGCTCCTGGTGGGGCCCGCCCTCAAAGTCGGACAGTGCTTTTGCGACGCGGGCTGAGTGTTTGCGAGGCGGCCTGCGCAGAGTAGGACCCCTGCATGTAGTATGAGCAGGACCCCTGCATCTAATAGGATATTGAACTCGAATTCCCCACCCCCACATCTGTAGGCAGCGTGAGACACATCGATTTCATCTGCCATTGAAGGTGTGTGTGTGTACACATGTACACGTTTGTACACGCACGCGAACGCATGGGCTCGAGTCCAGCAGTAAAACCAAGTAAGTCTTGCGCGGGAATCGTTGTGACATCGATGGGTGGATTTTGCCTGATCAGTAGCGCAGCACAGGCTGAGCCATCGCGTTCGCGGGTGCGTCGACGATATTACACGGAAGCGTATCGCGTCAAAACCGTACATTCAGACGGTCGGAAATTAAAACATTGCGAGTTCGAGAGTGCCTGTTGTCTGCGATGTCTTTCCTATTCCGCACAGTTCATGCTTCTTAGCCGCAACGGCGGCATCTAGCGTTATCTGGAAGTTCAGAGCCTCCCAGTTCTCGATGCATTAAGTGATTATGATCGTTCTTATCGATGCATTGCATCTCGCCCGCAGTCGCTAATCAGTCCACTGTGCGCGCAGGACCCTCGTCCACAGGCCTGGAAGTTGGCAGTGCCGCCTAGCGGTTGCCGATGCGCCCTTTGTTCTTGCAATTTGCTTCCGCGAGTGATTACTCAGTTGCCATGAGTGAGACAGCCACGACTCGTCGTGAGGTGAATGGTGGCCTGCCTCGCCCCCGGCAGCCGTCTGGCACACCTCTTCGAACATGCTGCTTATCTCAGCCTCCAGATGAAGGGAAGTGTGAGGACGAGGGCGAGGATGATGGGGAGGGGCAATCTCCTGCGGACAACTCGTTGAGAACCGAGAGGCTTCAAGGGTAGAATTGCGCTGTTGCCGGCACGAACATCCGCGAGCCCGTGTATGTGGTTGGGGGGTATCCGTCCAGAACCGGGCTTGGCTGTGTGCGCTCCGTGCCCTGCACATTGGGCCATTGCCGTCGTCCTTTTTGTGCCTTCTATCCTTGAGGTGGACGCAGGGGGCACGCTCCCTGCCAGGGGGGGCACGCTCCATGCAGTCCACCTGGCACCGCTCTGACGTGAGCACTTTTCCCTCGGCGAAGACAATCGAGGAGCACATGGGACCACCTCGCGAAAACATGAACGCACAAAGCCGAAGCATGCGGTGGGAATGGGCGTCCCAGCGACGGCGAGTCCATGCCATGCGCACGGAGCCGCGCCAACCCCGAATCCCCGTGGGGGCGCCCGCGCACGACTGACCCGAAACCCAGGGCACAGGCCGCGCCCGAAGGGTGCAGCCTTCGGGGAGGCGCGGCGGCTGGAAGGGAGGGGGTGGTCACGGCGAGGGGTGGCGAGAGACGCGCAGCCTCTTTCTCCTCCGCAGTCGGCCACCATGCCATTCGCCGACTGGCGCCGATGGCGTGGCACGAAGTGGGTCTCGCGTCTTGGCGCGCTCGGCCTTCCTCCCTGGTCCGCGTCGCCCTCCTGCCGCTCTGGCCTGCCCCCCATCTTCCGACCGCGTGCTGCCGCCTGGCCGCGAGCGTGGCTCACCGAGGCCGAGATCGAATTCTATGCCTCCGTTGCGGCGGGCGGGGGGGGGGGCAGTGTCAGGGGCAGCTCTGCGAGGGGGAGGGGTTCGAGCGGGCATGCGTCGACACCCAGCAGCCCCGCCATGGAGCGGGTTCGCCCTCGGGGACCTATCTCGAAGAAGAGAAAACGCCATAAACCTAAACTTTTGGCGCTCCGCGCGGATTTCTTGGATCTGCGCTGGGGGCCCCCTGGCGGCGCCTCCGGCGCCGCCCCTGGCGCGCCTCGCGCGCCAGGGAGGGGGGTCCAGCGCAGATCCAAGAAATCCGCACGGGCGCCGCCAGTTTCTGTTTGTGGCGTTTTATTCTTCCTCTTCTTCTATTAACCCCGACCGATTTGTCGCCGGTGCGATCCCGAGGCTCTTCCTCGCAGGCGATTTTTCTCCCCCAACCCCCGACTTTTCGACGAACGCCCCCCCGTCGCGTATATCATCCCAGTCTATCATCCCAGTGTCGGGCCCCAAATGTCAAGTCCGTTCGAAAACGCCACGAAGCCTGGGATGGGAGTCGACATGCCCCCTGCTGCCACCCCCTGAGGGGGACCCCCCCCTGGGCGTCGGTCCCCCCTCGGGGGGGGGGGGGGGGAGCCCCCAGGGCGGGGCAGAGGCGGAGGCACCCCGCCCCGCCCGCTGTGGTGGCCGCGCGGGCCCCTCGGCATGCCTGGTGCACGCGGTTCACCGGGGGGCCAACCTTCCCCCACCACTGCCAGAGGCAGGACGGGGGAGACGAGAGGAGGAGGAGGAGGAGGAGGAGGAGGAGGAGGAGGAGGAGGAGGTCCGCCTCCTCCTCCTCCTCCTCCTCCTCTCCTCCTCCTCCGTCTCCTCCTCCGTCTCCTCCTCCTCCTCCTCCTCCTCCTCCTCCTCCGCCTCCTCCCTTTCCTGCTTGTGGTAGTGGCGGTTGGAAACTGGCCCATCAGTTCACCGGGGGGCCGGGGAGAGGGCCGAGGATGTTGGCGATTGGGGCCCTTGTGGCCCAGTAGTTTGCCCAAGAAGAGGGTCGATCAGAGGAGGAAAGGGTACCGATACCGCTGCCCTTCCCTCGGTTTCCCCTTTTGGGCCTCCTGGGGGGGCCCTCGTTGCCACCGCTGGATTCACCTCGAAATTCTTGTTAGAGCGCACCCCATGAGAGTTCCTGGGAGTAGCGGTATCGGTACCTTTAGGTTTCCACAGTCGAGGTTGCATCATGTGACGTTTCGGGGCCTTGAGGTCCAAGATTTTGCCCGAGAAAAAACAATGAACTAGGGTCACCACGAGGGTGCGAAGTTAGTCGCGCTTCGCCTAGCGCGAAAATAGTTGCCCTAGGGGAATGTGCCGATAATGAAGTGCCGAGCCGTGCCAGCGATCGGCTCAGGCTCCGCTGGCCCCGATGGTGCCGTCTGCTGGCTGGAATCCGAAAGCCCTCTCCAGCTCCTGGTTCAGCGGAGGTGGAGTGGATGTAACGAAGCGGAGTGCTCTCCTCCTTCGTTCATCCCAGCGTAGCCTGCGCTTCGGCGGGCGGTGAGGACGGGGGTGAGCGTGAGCAGGAGCACGGAGGGAGGAGGAGGAGGCGACGGGGGAGAGGAGACGGTGGGGGGAGGCGAGGGAGGCAGGACGGGGTCGGGGGCCGATTGCTGCAGGCTTCGCCCTCCGCTCTGAGAAGTCCCCGGGCGCTGGTGCCTGTGCTCTCGGCACCGGCCTCGGTGATCCCGCGCGCCGCGTCGGCGCACCGAGCCTGGAGCGAGGCTCGCCACCCACCATCGGCGTCACCCTGACATGCTTCTACTGTATGTGCATCGCCCCCGGGGGGCGATGCGCGCACCCAGGAATCTTACAGTGTATGCGTCGTGGCGGGCGCTGTCTGGCCACGCCGCTCGGGAAACGATATGCTACAAGATGGGTGTACCAGATGTTTGGGTCGGACGCGCGCCTCCAGGGAGAACATATAGTACTAGTACGTGTTTGTGCGTCCCACACCAAGCCACCGCCAACCCAACCCGAAGGCCCCTATGTACCTCCATCTCCAGGCGGGGAGCACGGACAAAAGCAGGTGTGGAGCCCGTGCCCCCCCCCCATTGACAAAAACACGTGTGGAACCCGCACCCCCCCCAAAAAAATGTGCGTCGTCGGGTCAGTTTGGGGTGGTCCGATGGGCAGTCCGAGGCCGTGCGCCGAGGCGGGGATGTATCCATATAACCGCCGCCTGGGTGATCGATCTTCGGGCACCTCGGCAGGCCGTGCAAAGTGCACACGTTCGGGCACTGGGAGGGGCCAAGCTCTCGAGGGACCGTACCCTCGGAGCGAGGTATAATGATCGACGAGGTCGGTTCGGGGAGGGCACCCAAATCAAGTATTCTTAGTGCTTGTTGGATGTTTTTGTGCATGCTGGCAAACACGTACCCTTGGTTGTTCTGTCTGTTTTGGCCGACTGAAGGTCGTTCTTGGGGGATACTCTTCTGGCCTAGGTCCGACTGTACATGATATAGACATCAACTTGCGCAGGTCCGCGCAGAGTTCTTGGATCGGCGCCTGGGCCCCCTCCCTGGCGCGCGGAGAGCGCCATGGGCGGCGCCGAAGGCGCCGCCAGGGGGCTACAGCGCCGATCCAGAAAATCCGCGCGGACCTCTGAAAGTTTGATGTATATGTCATTGGCTGCCCCTCGGCAGACACATCCGCATCCGCCTGCCTGCTCGCCGAGGTCCTCGAAGAGCGGTCCCCAGGCGGTGGTCATGGATAGATCCTCGCCTCGCATGTACAGCCAACCCGCATAGTAAGGATGGGCAACCTTCCCAAGGGTACCCTTGCATCCTTGCCTCCTCGGGTCCACCCTTGGCCACTGTCGTTGGCCGCGCCCCGCTCGAGAAGCTTCGAAGTGGGCGTCCAAGGCCCTTGCATTCTCAACGCGCATCCTCCTGATACGGGCCGGCCGTAGGCTCTCGAAGCCTGCCGTCGCTGCCAGGCCGTGGCAGAGCAATGCCCTGCCCGGAGTGTGCCACGCGCAGGGGCTCGCGTCAAGGCAGGCGCGTCCCTCTGCAGGAGGGACGTTCAGAAGTCGTCCCGTGGACCACGTTGGACCATGGTTTGTTCATTTCTCCCTCCAGACTGCTGCCTGTCGGGGGACATGCCCGACCTCAGGCTTGCGTGTGTGTGTGTGGGTGGGTGGGTGGGTGGGTGGGTGGGTGGGTGTGTGTGTGTGTGCGTGTGTGTGTGTGTGTGTGTTTGTGTGTGGGTGTGCGGGGCCGTCGCCCGCGGGAAAGCGCGGGCCGCCACATATCGGACCTCTTTGTGTCGTGCGCGCAGGGGGCTCACACGGGGGCGCGCAGGGAGAGCCCAGGCTGTGGGGTCGGCGCTCGGTCGTCCGGGGCAGCAGTTGTGGTGCACGAGTATGGTGCTGAAGTAGCAACCGTGGTGCACATAGGCGTCGTCGTGTTCACAGGCAGTGTGTGTGGTGTGCACATGCGCTGTGGTGCACACGGGTGTTGTGTTGTACAGAAGCATTGTGGTGCACAGAGGCATTGTTGTGTAGACAGGCGCTGCGGTTTACACAAGCAGCTGCGGTGTGCAAAGGCGTCGTGGCGCACGCTAGACAGGCGCTGTGGTGTACACGACCATGGTCGGCCAAAAACGGGGGTACCGCACCCCGGGCCAGAACAACCAATACTGACAAGACTTACAGATTGTTCGGGCCCCCAGCGATTTTCCAGATTTGGACCCCGACGGGACCTTGGAGGTGCACGGAAGCGTTGTGGCGCAAATGTTTGCCATGCGCTGTGGGCACGCGGCTCTTGTGGTGTGCAAAAGCACCGCAGTGTACACATGCGCTGTGGTGCACACGGGCGTTGTCGTGTACGCAGGCGTTCTGGTGTACCCAGGCACTGATGTCTAGACAGGCGCGGCGGTGTACACAAGCAGCTGTGGTATACAAAGGCGTCGTGGCGCACGCTAGACAGGCGCCGTGGCGCACGCTAGGCAGGCGCTGTGGTGTACACAAGCATGGTTGGCCAAAATCGGGGGGACCGTACCCCGGGCCAGAAATCAATCATCACATATAAGTTACATGTTGAATTTGATACGTTCGAGCCCCCGACGATTTTTCGTAGCTTGGCCCCGTCGGTATTGCCTGCAAACGTACGCGAATTTTGCGGTGTGCGCAGGCGCTGTGGTGCACAGGGGGTGCTGAAACAGCGGCTGTGGTGCACGCAGGCGCCGTGGTGTGCACAGATCTCGCGATGTACAGCGGCGTCGTGGTGCACGCGGTTGTTATGGTGTACACAGTCGCCGTGGTGCACACACATGCGATTTCTGTAGCAGCCCTGGTGCACAAAGGAAATTGTACAAATTGTACAGAGCCCGTGCTGTGTGCACAGGCGCTGTGGGTTTTGGCGGCGACGACGACGGCGACGACGACGAAGACGACGTAGGCGGCGCGCCTCAGGGGGTGCGCGCCGCGGCCCCAGCTACCGTCCCCCCTCCACGCCCCCCCCCCCGAGTTAACATGCGTTATCTCCCTGAAATAAACAATGGTTTCTGTGGTCTCCACTCATCCTCTACCCCGTCCTCCGAACTGCGCAACTGTCGCCACTCTCGTGGGCTCATGGGCTAGCTAAGAGGTCCAGCGAAGTGGAGGGGTACGCGCATGCAGACGAGACCTCGCAGTTCCGTGGGTGGCTGCGATTTGCACAATTCTCGTAATCTTCGTGGGCTCATGGGCGGTTCAGCGGCGTGGACGTGTACGCGCATCTCGACGAGTCCTCGAGGCTCCCTGGGTGGTTGCGAACTGGGCAGTTGTCGCCACCTTCGCGGGCTCTTTGGGGAGTCCAGCGGAGTGAAGGTGTACGCACACCCAGGCGAGACCTCGCGGCTCCCTGGGTTGCTGCGAACTGCGCAATTGTCGCCACGTTCGTGGGCTCCTGGGTAGGTCCAGCGGAGTGGAGGTGTTCGCGCATCCAGGCGGGACCTCGCGGCTCCCTGGGTGGTTGCGAGCTGCCCAACCGTCGCCACTTCCGTAGGCGCTCCTGGGATGTCCAGCGTTGCGGGGGGGGTCCGCCACCCCTGCAGTCACTAGGGTTCGCCTTCTCCCTCCCTTTCCCCCCCCCTTCCCTCCCAGGCCCTCCCCGTCCCGCCCACTCGGTTGAAGGAGCAATGAGCTGCCGCTCTCTCTCTTTCTCTCTCTCTCTCTCTCTCTCTTTCTCTCTCTCTCTCTCTCTCTCTCTCTCTCTCGGCGTTAGATAGACCTCTAGAGCTGGTCTTCTTCTGACCTGCTCCTGAGCGTCCGTCTTCCCCCTCGTTTCTGGAGTGCTGTGCACTCCCCCTCCTCCCCGTCCTCCTCCTCCTCCTCCGCCTCCTCCTCTCCCTCCTCCCTCCTCCTCCTCCTCCCTCCTCCTCCCCTCCTCCTCCTCCTCCTCCTCCTCCTCCTCCTCCTCCTCCCCTCTCCTCTAGGTAGTCTCCAGTCTCCAGCCTCCTCTCCTCCTCCTCCTCCTCCTCCTCCTCCTCACTACTCCTCCTCCTCCTCCTCCTCCTAGTCGGGTCTGGCTCAGGCCCGCCTGCTGGGCCTGCTGCCCGCCGCCTCCCCCTCCTCCCCCTCCGCGCCCCGCCTCCCCTCCCTGGCGGCATGGTGCGGCGGCGCCCGCGGCGGCGCTGATTCCGCTGACGCAGCGCGCCCGCGCCCTTCTTTGGGCCCGCTGGGCGCGATCGGCATGATGGTCGTCGTGCTGAGCTGCCGTACGCCGTGCTGCACGGCCCGCGGCGCCTGCTGGGCGGCAGCCAGGCCCCCTGCGTGGCGCGCGGCCCCCGCGCTGCATGCCGCTGGACGGCAGCCGCGGTTCCTGGATGCCCGCTCCTGCTGGGCGTGGCGGGCGGGGTGGCGGCGTGCGCCCTGTTGCAACAGAGGGGCATGGCGCGGTGCCGCACGAGCCCAAGCTGGGCCTCGCCGAGGCTCGGCCGTGGCGAAGCGCGCGCCGCACGCTGACTCTTCTGCCCGCGCCTGCGCTGGCTCGCTGGCGGCGGCTGGCTGGGGCTGCGATTCGGGACCGCTCGTGTACATATTGGCCGCGTGGCCGTGGAGCACTTGCTGGTGCTCGTGGAGGAGTCGCTGCTCCTCGTTTTCGGGGTCGTCGCGGACCCCCTCGTGGCCGGGGGCCCTAGGCAGCTGCACAGCGCAGGGCCCCCGTTCCGGAAAGCCGTCGACTGCATGCAGTTCACGGTCGGGGGGTTTGGCTCCTCAGGTGGAGACCAGGCCCCCCGCGGCGGGAGGCGGGGAACACGCGCCCTCCTGAGGCTCGGTCATCCTCCTCCTCCTCCTCCTCCTCCTCCCCTCCTCCTCTCCTCCTCCTCCTCCTCCTCCTCCTCCTCCTCCTCCTCCTCCTCCTCTAGGTAGTCCTCCTCCCCCCCCGCCTCCTCCTCCCCCGCCTCCTCCTCCTCCTCCTCCTCCTCCTCCTCCTCCTCCTCCTCCTCCTCCTCCTCCTCCTCCTCCTCCCCTTGGGGCAGCCATTTCACTTTCTTTCCTGGGCCCTCCCCGTCCCGCCGCCCCTCCTCGCCCTGCCGCTCCCCCTGGCCGGCACCGCGCGGGCGCCCGCAAGCGGGCAGGGAGAGGGCGGCCTGGGCGGGGCGGCGCAGCGCGGTGCCAGCAGAGACAGTCCCAGAGATCCAGAGGTTCGATGGTTTTGCCGTGGAGAGCGGGACGCTCCCACAGCAGAAGCCCGTGGACGTCCTGGGGTCTCAGGGCTGGGTCCCTTGTGGCAGGTCTCCTGTGGACGGGCCCCCTGCTGTAGGGGCGCAGGGTCCCGCAGAGCCTGATCGACCGGGGCCAGCAGATCTCTCCGCCTGTGCTCCGCCCTCGCGCCTCCTCCCTCGGAGGTTGGAGGGTCAAGGCTGGAGCCTGGGCGTCTGTCGCCCCTCCGACGACATGGGATCTATGGGACGTGTGGGGGGCCGGCAGGCTCTGTTCAAGCCCGTGATGGACCTCGTGCAGCGCCGGAGCGTGGTCTGCCGCCGGCTCCCCGGGCAGGAGTTACGAAGGGCTTGGCAGGAGCGAGGGCGTGCGAGTGGGCGAGCGTGTGCGCGAGAGAGGGAGAGACAGACAGAGAGAGGCGACCTCATACACTTACCCGTGTATACTCACGTGTGTGTGTATATGTGTATGCGTACGCATGTGATCTTGTGTGGTATACACGCATGGGCGCATCGAATTACATGTGCCTGTACATAAGCGTATACGAATGTGCACATGGCAATGTGGATCAAAGCACATAGGAAAATATATCCGTCGGTCGTTGAGAGTAGGTATTTGGACCCCCAGATCCCAATATAATTCTTGCGCCTTCTACTTCAATAGTGTATATGCGTTAGCTGTGTTTTGTTATGCTCTGGGAGGGTCTGAACCCAATCTACCGTGACCGCCTTCCTACTTAATGTCTCCTTTATCTACCTCCTCCGACCGAAGTGCACGCGCAAGCCTGACCCGCCTCACTCACCCCAGAGGCACCAAGAGCACGCTCCGTGAGTGCCCCCCTCCTCCCGGGCCCTCATTGGAGGCTCCCCTGGGCTCCCCATGGAGGTTCTCTACGAGCCCTGGAGACGGCCCCCCGAGTACCGAGTACCGTCATATGCAGTCAGCCCGCATTGTAGGGACGGGCAACCTGTCCTTGCATTTGGCCTCCTCGGTCAATCCTTGGTTGGCCACTTTCGTTGGCCGCGCCTCGCTTGAGAAGCTTCGAAATGTGCGTCCAAGGCCCTTGCATCCTTATCGCGCATCCTCCTGATACGGGCCGACCGTACGCACAATCGGCGACGAGCGAGGGGGGGACGTGAGAAGGAGAAGGCCTTCGCAGAAGGTTCGGAAGTCCCCCTGTCTTCTGGGAAGTTTTCTGAGCCCTTCCCGAGGACGAAGAAGACTTCTAAGAAGGGGCGAGGACTTCTGAGAAGTCCCGCCGCCTTCTGAAAAGGCCTTCGCCTTCTCATTTCCCCCCCTCGCTCGCCGCCGATGTACGCACAAGCCTGGCCCGCCCGGCCCACCCCAGGGGCACCCAGAGCGCACTCCGCGAGTGCCCCCCTCCATCCCCCCGGTGGCTTCTATTCACCGGAGGCCCCACGGGCCCTGGATACGGCGCGAGGGCACCCGCGGGTTTCCGAGGAGGGACCCCAAGAACCCAGGAGAGCCTCCTTCCCCGAAAAAGTAATACATAATAATATTAATGAGAATAAGAAGAAGCATGCCAACCATAATAAGTATATACGAATAATAACAGCAAGACATACACAAACATTCGAACATTGCAACAACAACAACAACAGTAATCCAGTTTAAGACTGGTTGCTCTCATCTGCTCGAGTGTCCGTTAACGCTTCCCAAACCCTCGATACCTGCTTGTTTCGTCTTCGATCGTGCCCCTTCTGGAGGGTAAACCTTTCTTCCCCGCAGGGCGGGCCCCCGCAAGCGGCGGAACGGCCGCGGACCGCCGGCCTGTCCAGCGGCAGCGCTAATCGGCGGCAGCCCGACCCCAAGAGGGACGGACAGGGGACCGACCACGACGACAACGACGACGACGACGACGATGGCGGCGGCGACGACCACGAGCGAAAGCGAAAGCGAAAGCGAGAGCGAGAGAGAGAGAGAGAGAGAGAGAGAACGACATCAGGGCCCCGCAGGGCACGAAGTAGGCCACGAAGGGCGACAGCGGGGACGCGAAGGGAATGCGTGGGGCCACGATGAGCGCGAACGAGTGGGGCCCACGAAGGGCATATAATGCGGAGCCACCGAAGGCAACGACGGGGCCACTGAGGACAGCAATTGGGCCACGAGGGCAACGACTGGGCCACGAAGGGCGACAGCGGAGCGAAGGGCATGCGCATGGGGCCACGACGGGCGCGAACGAGCGGGGGCCACGAATGGCATGCGTATATTAGGCCTCGGAGGGCAAGGACGGGGCCGCGGGCAGCAACGGGGCCACGAAGGGCAGTGACTGGGGCCACGAAGGGCGACAGCGGGGCCACGAGGGGCATGCATATGTGGCCACAACGGGCGCGAACGAGCGGGGGCCACGAAGGGCAGCGAAGGGGCCACGAAGGGCTGCAACGGGGCCGCGAGGGGGCCACGAAGGGCTGCAACAGGGCCACGAAGGGCAGCGAGGGGGCCAAGGGCTGAAACGGGGCCACGAAGGGCAGCGAGGAGGCCACGAAGGGCTGCAACGGGGCCACGAAGGACAGCGAGTCCCTCCTAAGCGTGAGCGCGACTCCTGGGGGCCTGCGTGTCGGGAGCGCGGCGCTTGCGTAAATTGCAGGAGATTCCTGCGCAAGGGCGCTCTTCTTGAGTAAATTGCAAGCAAGTCTCCAGCGAGAGCGCGACTCCAGAGCGCCGAGGGAACGATTCCTGAATAATTTGTCAGGAAGTCTCAAGCGAGAGCGCGACTCCTGAATAACATGCGAGGTAGTCTCGGGCGGGAGCGGGGGTCCTGGCTAAATTGTGAGGGGTTGTCAGGCGGGAGCCGTTGATGTTGTTGTTGTAACCTGGGGGACCAACAGCGCAGTTTGAGGATGATTTTTTTCGCAATAAAAGAAGCAAAAGGGCGAGCGCCAGGAGGGGGGCACTTCAAGTGAAAAATATAATGTGCACCGGAGGGGGGATCAACAATACTCATTCGTCAGTAGTGACAAATCATCAACAACAACAACAACAACAGCTTATCTGCTCGAGTGTCCGTTAACGCGTATTCCCCAAACCCTCGATACCCGCCCTCTTCGTCTTCGATCGTGCCCCTTCTGGAGGGTAAACCTTTCTTCCCTGCGCGGCGGGCCCCGGCAAGCGGCGGGGCGGCCACGGACCGTCGGCCTGGCCAGCGGCAGCGATGATCGGCGGCAGCCCGACCCCAAGAGGGACGGACAGGGGACCGACCACGACGACAACGACGACGACGACGTCGACGACGACGACGACGTCGACGACGACGACGACGACGGCGACGACGACGACGACGAGCGAAAGCGAGAGCGAGAGAGAGAACGGCGGCGGGGCCACCAAGGTCACGAACTAGGCCACCTAGGTCACGAACAAGGCCACGAACGACCGAGGACACGAAGGGAATGCGTATGGGGCTACGAAGAGCGCGAACGACCGGGTGCCACGAAGGGCAGATCATGCGGGGCCATTGAGGGTGGCAAATGGGCACGTAGGACAGCGAGGGGGCCACGAAAGGCGACAGCGAGGCCACGAATGGCATGCACATGGGGCCACGACGGGCGCGAACGAGCGGGGGCCACGAAGGGCATGCATAGATTGGGCCGCGGAGGGCAAAAACGGGGCCACTGAGAGCAGCAACGGGGCCACGAGGGGCAGCGAAGGGGGCCACAAAAGGCGACAGCGGGGCCACGAAGGGCATGCCTATGGGGCCGCGACGGGCGCGAACGAGCGGGGGCCACGCAGGGCATGTATACATGGGGCCACGAAGGGCCGCGAGGGGCTGCAACAGGGCCGCGAAGGGCAGCGTGGGGACCACGAAAGGGTGCAACGGGGCCACGAAGGGCAGCGAGGGGGCCACGAAGGGTTTCAACGCGGCCACGGAGGGCCGCGAGGGGGCCACGAGGGGCTGCAACAGGGCCACGACGGGCAGCGTGGGGACCACGAAGGGGTGCAACGGGGCCACGAAGGGCAGCGAGGGGGCCACGAAGGGCTGCAACGGGGCCGCGAAAGGCAGCCAGGGGGCCACGAAGGGCTGCAACGAGGCCACGAAGGGCAGCGAGGGGGCCACGAAGGGCTGCAACGGGGCCGCGGAGGGTAGCGAGGGAGCCACGAAGGGCTGCAACGGGGCCACGACAGGCAGCGAGATCCCGTTTCTTGAATAATCTGTGATGGAGTCCTAAGCGTGAGCGCGATTCCTGGCTGCCTAAGTGTTGGGAGTGCGGCGCTTGCGTAAATGGTGGAAATTCCCGCGCAAGGGCGCTATTTTGGAGTAGATTACAAGCACGCCTCCAGCGAGAGCGCGACTCCAGAGCGCCGAGAGAACGATTCCTAAATGAATTGTCAGGAAGTCCTAAACGAGAGCGCGATGCCTGAATAACATGCGAGGTAGTCTCGGGCGGGAGCGGGGGTCTTAGCTAAATCGTGAGGAAGTCTCAGGCGGGAGCCGCTGCTGTTGTAACCCAGGGGCCAGGGGCACATATTGAGCATCAAGACTTCCCCTGTCCAAAAACAGGGCGCGAGCGTCGAGGGGCACACGTTGATTGAGAAGTAACAGCATGCACCGGCGAGAGTGGGATCAGCAAGAATTTTTTTCATAAATGAGAATTCAACAACAACAACAACAACCATTTTAAAGCTGTACGCTCTTACTTGCCCGCGAGTCATTCAACACGTATGCCCTACACCCTCGATACCCGCCCTCTCCGTCTTCGATCACACCCCTTTCGGGGGGATTATTTCTCTTTGCTGGGGCCGGCGGGCTTAGACGTACGGGCAAGCCGGAACGGGCGGACAATCCTTCGGGGGCGTACATCTCTCTGCCCGCCATTGGAATCGGCGCGGGCCCTGCAAGAGGAGGAGGGGAAGAACGAGGGAGAGTGGGAGGAAGGGGAGGGGGAAGGACGAAGGAAGAGGGAAGATACCACGTTGTGAAGGCGTCCTTGGCGCGTGCGTGGTTCCTGAGCGCCGAAACGCAATTCCAGAATAATTTGTGAGGACGTCGCACGCGAGAGCGCAGTCCTGAGTACATTGTGAGGAAATCTCGGGCGGAAGCGGGGGCCCTGACTAAGTTGCGAGGAGGTCTCAAGCGGGAGCGCCGTTCCTGAGCAAATTGCACAGATTCTCAAGCGGGAGCGGGGGTCCTCACTAAATTACGAGGAAGTCTCAGGCGGGAGCGCCGTTCCTGAGTCAATTGCGCGGAAATGTCAGGCAGGAGCGGGGGTCCTGAGTAACATTCAAAGAAGTATCAGGCGGGAGCGCCGTTCCCAAGTAAATCCCACGGAAGTCTCAGGCGGGAGCGGGGGTCTTGATTACATTGCGAGGAAGTCTCAGACGGGAGCGCCTTTCCTGAGTAAATTGCGCGGAAGTCTCAGGCGGGAGCGGGGGTCCTGAGTAAAAATCGAGGAAGTCTCAGGCGGGAGCCGTTGTTGTTGTAGCCCGGGGGGCAGGGGCACAGTTTGAGCAGGAAGACTTTCCTTTAGAAAAAACAAGGTGCGAGCCCCGGGGGTGGCACTTCAATCGAAAAAAATCAATGTGCACCGGTGGGGGGGATCAACAATAATTATTTTTCAAGAATGAGAGTTCAACAACAACAACAACAACAACCACAACAACACCAAATCCAACAACAACCAATATTTTAAGGCTGTACGCTCTTACTTGCCCGCGAGTCATTCAACACGTATACCCTACACCCTCGATACCCGCCCTCTTCGTCTTCGATCACACCCCTTTCGGGGGGATTATTTCTCTTTGCTGGGGCCGGCGGGCTTAGACGTACGGGCAAGCCGGAACGGGCGGACAATCCTTCGGGGGCGTACATCTCTCTGCCCGCCATTGGAATTGGCGCGGGCCCTGCAAGAGGAGGAGGGGAAAAACGAGGGAGAGTGGGAGGAAGGGGAGGGGGAAGGACGAAGGAAGAGGGAAGATACCACGTTGTGAAGGCGTCCTTGGCGCGCGCGTGGTTCCTGAGCGCCGAAACGCAATTCCAAAATAATTTGTGAGGACGTCGCACGCGAGAGCGCAGTCCTGAGTACTTTGTGAGGAAATCTCGGGCGGAAGCGGGGGCCCTGACTAAGTTGCAAGGAAGTCTCAAGCGGGAGCGCCGTTCCTGAGCAAATTGCACGGAAATGTCAGGCGGGAGCGGGGGTCCTCACTAAATTGCGAGGAGGTCTCAGGCGGGAGCGCCGTTCCTGAGTCAATTGTGCGGAAATGTCAGGCAGGAGCGGGGGTCCTGAGTAAAATTCGAAGAAGTATCAGGCGGGAGCGCCGTTCCCACGTAAATTGCACGGAAGTCTCAGGCGGGAGCAGGGGTCTTGATTACATTGCGAGGAAGTCTCAGACGGGAGCGCCTTTCCTGAGTAAATTGCGCGGAAGTCTCAGGCGGGAGCGGGGGTCCTGAGTAAAAATCGAGGAAGTCTCAGGCGGGAGCCGTTGTTGTTGTAGCCCGGGGGGCAGGGGCACAGTTTGAGCAGGAAGACTTTCCTTGAGAAAAAACAAGGTGCGAGCCCCGGGGGTGGCACTTCAATCGAAAAAAATCAATGTGCACCGGTGGGGGGGATCAACAATAATTATTCTTCAAGAATGAGAGCTCAACAACAACAACAACAACAACAACAACAACAACAACAACAACAACAACAACAACAATTACTAGCACGTGGGGACACTCCGTTCTCACCAGTGCCAGGGTTTTCATAGGAGGCGGGCAATACCCCCACTTTGTGGGGGGGCCGGTTCAAGCTCTACCAAATTTCCAAACGACTCTTCGCCACCACCCACACCCAGCTTCCCGCCCTATGACGTTCGGACACTTCACTTCGTGGCATGCGGACGACCGTGGCTACTATTCAGGGCCCCGCGGCCGACGACGACGGCGTGCGCGCGCGAAGAAAAAACGAATGTGTCCCGCATGGTATTATTTGACAGGGATGATGGCCCTGGCAGGTGCGCAACCGTTGTTGCAGAAGTTCGAAAAAGTTGCTCGCAAAAGCCCGTTTGACAGAAATGTTTAAAAAGTGTTGGGTTTCCTACGAATCCGCAAGAGCGCGCGGGATGAAATTTTGACATTTTTTTTTGAAAAACCATTGGTTTTTTGATGTTTTTATGTTAAAATCGCTACGAAACTAAGGTTTTGGAAGGATTTCGTCTTGCGCGCGCGAATGTCCACTTTACCTTATTTTTTGCAAGAGATTCTTGAAGTTTGGTTATGTTAGAACAAGAAATGTCCATTTAGCTTTTTTTTGGCAAGGGAAAACCGATCGTAACAACACAACCGGATCCGGACTCCCCCGTTTTGCCTGAGACTTCCTCACGAAAGTGATGAAAATGAGGCTGCGGCCTAGGCGCGGCGGGGGGGTCGTGCACCAGGGGTCCCAACAATAATTATTCTTTAGAAGTAATAATGTTCAACAACAACAACAATTACTAGCACGTGGGGACACACCGTTCTCACCAGTGCCAGGGTTTTCATAGGAGGCGGGCAATACCCCCACTTTGTGGGGGGGCCGGTTCAAGCTCTACCAAATTTCCAAACGACTCTTCGCCACCACCCACACCCAGCTTCCCGCCCTATGACGTTCGGACACTTCACTTCGTGGCATGCGGACGACCGTGGCTACTATTCAGGGCCCCGCGGCCGACGACGACGGCGTGCGCGCGCGAAGAAAAAACGAATGTGTCCCGCATGGTATTATTTGACAGGGATGATGGCCCTGGCAGGTGCGCAACCGTTGTTGCAGAAGTTCGAAAAAGTTGCTCGCAAAAGCCCGTTTGACAGAAATGTTTAAAAAGTGTTGGGTTTCCTACGAATCCGCAAGAGCGCGCGGGATGAGATTTTGACACTTTTTTTTGAAAAACCATTGGTTTTTTGATGTTTTTATGTTAAAATCGCTACGAAAACTAAGGTTTTGGAAGGATTTCGTCTTGCGCGCGCGAATGTCCACTTTACCTTATTTTTGCAAGGGATTCTTGAAGTTTGGTTATGTTAGAACAAGAAATGTCCACTTTAGCTTATTTTTTGCAAGGGAAAACCGATCGTAACAACACAACCGGATCCGGACCAACCCGTTTTGCCTGAGACTTCCTCACGAAAATGATGAAAATGAGGCTGCGGCCTAGGCGCGGCGGGGGGGTCGTGCACCAGGGGTCCCAACAATAATTATTCTTTAGAAGTAATAATGTTCAACAACAACAACAACAACAACAACAACAACAACAACAACAACAACAACAACAACAACAACAACAACAACAACACAGCAGCAGCAGCAGCAGCAGCAGCAGCAGCAACAGCAACAGCAGCAGCAGCAGCAGCAGCAGCAACAGCAACAACAACAAACACCCCCAAAGGGCCCGAGAGCCCCGATGTTGTCCACAGAGAGCCCATGGGGGCCAGCCACGAGAGAGAGCCTCCAGAGGACCCCCAGGGCTGCCCAGGCCAGTCCAAAGTCTGCGTGGAGCTCCCTGGGGCCCGGCGCCTGTCGAGCAGGTTCTCTCCTGCCACGGGGGCGTCGGAGGCGGCCTGCAACCCCAGATCGAAGGGCCAGGAGGTGGGTCCAGGGCTGCCCCGCGCGAGCCCCGAGGAGGGCCGAAGAGGGCCTCCTCGGGAGCGCAACGGGGCCCCACGACTGCGCGGATGGATGCCGCACACCGCCCCAAGGATCCGTCGAGGGGGCCCCCCAGGCGCGGCCCCGCGAGGGCCCAACGGGGGCCTGAACTTATGGCGTTCCCACCTACTTTGAGCCTTGAGCAGCAGGAAGAACTTTTGAGCACCAAGGAAGGATCGAAATTGGAGGGTCTTCTCTTGTCGGGCCCAGGGGGCGATCTTCGCAGGTATTTCGCCAGCGTGTCGGGCAGACACTGTTGCGATACTTGCCGGGGTGCTCGAGATTGTGTCTGGGATGTGGTCCTCACGTGCGATGGGAGCAACAAAAGGCCCGAAGGGCGCCAAGATTGCCCCAGTACTGCCACAATAATGCCCACCTGTCAGGGCCCGCCCAGCCCGCCCATCAGGATCCACCCGCTCGTTTGGTTGAGAATCCATCCGTCCGCTTTGATGTCGCCTGAGCCTCGCCCAACCCGCCAACGCGGATCAGCCTGGCCGATCCACTGTTTCTCTGCATGACATGTTCGAACACAGCGAAGCCTTACCTATGTGTGTGTACTGCTGTGGTTTCTATACTATCTATCTCTCTCTCGTTTGTCTCTCTCTCTCTCTCTCTCTCTCTGTGTTTTTTATGTACACATATGTGTATATATTTATACACACAGATCGACTCATGAATACATTCACACTTGAAATTGTGATGTAAATGTGGTTGGTGATAGAAATAGGCGCGGTAGTCGTCATAGATGTGATGCCAATTTCTAGCTCACTGATGAGCACCAGCTCGCTGCCGGGCTGCCCACGCCAGCTTCCTGGCTCTGTTCCCCGACGGGATGTCGGCGCATGTGGTAGTCCGCGGTGGTAATACATAGAATGCCGTGGGGAATTTGTAAGCAACTGCACATACACACACAACACATACGTGTTGTGTTTCAGCGGTAATTCATGCTGCAGACGACGACGGCGACGATAACGACGACGATAGCGACGATAACGACGATAACGACGACGACGACGACGACGACGACGACGGCGACGACGACGACGACGACGTGCTGCTTCGTTTTCACGGCGCTGGCGCCGCCGCCGCCGCCGCCCGGCGGCCCCGCAGGTCATCTGAGAGGCGCCCGCGGCGGCGGCGCGGCGGAGCTCCGCTGGCCGCCTCCCCCCCCCCCCGCCCTCCGTCCGCCTGCCCTCCCGCCTCCCGCGCCGCCCGCCCTCCTCCTTGGCATCGCTCGGACGTGTGCATGTTTCCTTCGGCGTGGACCATCGAGGAGCATCCTTGATCATCTGGCGAAAGAACCACGCACGAAACCGAAAAAAGCACAGGGAATGGACGTCGGAGCGATGGCCAGCCTCTCGCTACGATCGAGTCCCAGACTTTATGATGTCCCAGCCTACTTTAGAGCCTTGACCAGCAGAACAACAATCCGAGCACCCAGGAAGTACCGAAACTGGAGGGTTTTCGCGTGTCGGGCCCCGGGAGGCGACACTCTTCTGACATTGCTTCGATCCTTTTCTGGGTGCTCGGAATCATTTCTGGGATGTGGTCCTGAAGTACGATGGGAGCAACATGAGCCCAGACCCCCTGCGCGTCGTGAAGACATCACGGCGGCATCTGGTCTTTTCGACCCCGGCCAGGGGAGGACAAGGTCATTACCCAATGACGCTACCATTTTCCCTCGGCTTCCCCTTTTTGGGGCCTCCTGGGCGGCCCTCGTCGCCACCGCTGGGTTCGCCTCGACATCCTGGTCAGAACGCGCCCCGAGACAGGTCTGGGGAGCAGCGGCATCGGTACCTTTTGGTCTCCCAAGTCGTGCAGAAGCCACACACCGCTACATCGTCGCCACCGCTGGATCCGCCTCGAAATCCTGGAGGTCCCGGGGAGCAGCGGTGGGGTATACCTAGCCGTGAAGAATCCGCGACGGGAATCATATTGGTCCTCGTCGGCCTCCGTCGGTGCCCTCGCCGGGCCTCCTTCGGGAGAAGAGCCGGTTCCGGGGAAGGGGTCCAGATCCCGGCATAAAAAAGAAGGAGTCCAGATTTGTCTTTCCTCTTCCTCCTCCTTCCGCTCCCCCTCCCCCTCCTCCTCCCCCTCCTCCTCCTCCCCCTCCTCCTCCCCCTCCTCCTCCTGCTTTTCCTCCTCCTCCTCCTCCTCCTCCTCCCCCTCCTCCTCCTGGTTCCGGAAGGGGTCCACGTCATGAAAAAGACATAATTTCAGGGGAATTCGGGGCGGGGTACGAAAAAGAAGGGGGACAAGGACTGACCCGATTTCTTGCCCATTGTTTTGGGACGGGGTACGACAAGAAGGGGAACAAGGACCGACACCATACCCTGCCCATTTTTTTTTGAGCCCGACCCGCTGTCGGTGTCGCCGCGGACGTTGCCACGTTCGAGGTGGCCTGTCGCCGGCCCCAGCAGCGACCGTTGTCGGTAGTTGGACGGCGTTTTCGCTGTCCGGCCTCGCACCCCCGTGGGAGAGGTATGAAGAGGGAAGGGAACTACCTACCCCACTTTCGCTCCCAGGCAACCCCAAGCCATACCACGCGCCTCCTCGTCGAGCGGCCTGACCAGCACAGGCCGCAGTTTGGAATCGCCTGCTACCTCCTGGAAGCGAGGGTGGTCAAAAGCGAGGCAGGCTTGCTTTCCCCCTAGACTTGGCAACCGTTCACGTGCAACACCGGCCGTGGGGAGAGGGTCGGACCTTCCAGGGACAGCGGGCTCACGGCGGAGAGCGAGGGTGGTCGAAAGCGAGGTGGGTCTGTTTGCCCACCAGAGGCGCGAGATCTGCGGCTGCCGCGTGTGGCCGGTCTCGGCCCCGCCGTCGGGCGCTCTCTCTCACCGTGTTGTTGCCTCCTGGCGTTCAGTTGGTAAAAAAAGGCAAATTGTAAAAAAGTAGTCTGGGGGCGATGTCCCGACTAGGTTTAAACATGTCTGACGATGCTGTTTGACTATGTGTCTCGTCCAGAATCCGCCAGTATGGGGGCACGCCCGACCTAATCCTGGCGCCAGGAGGCGCCAGGGCAACCAGCTGCGCGAGCTGATTCGCCAACAGCCCGTTACGGTAACCTCCGGCGGCGAGCGAGGGGGGGGAAGTGAGAAGGAGAAGGCCTTCTCCCTGACCTTCAGAGTGCTAAAAAATAGCCCTCCAGACCTATTGGCCTATCTGGACTGCCTAAAACCTCGACGGGAATTTAGGCGTCAAGGTCCTGGTGCTATCGTTTAGCCCTTCTGGAAGGTCAGGGCTCAGAAGGTTCGGAAGTCACCCGGCCTTCTGAGAAGTTCTTTGAGCCTACGCAAAAGCTTCTCAGAAGGCCGGAGGGCTTCTGAGAAGTCCCGCCGCCTTCTGGTAAGGCCTTCTCCTCTTCATTTCCCCCCCCCTCGCTCGCCGCCAATGATCCCCCGCTCGTCCGACCCCACCCTCTCGTCCCTCGAGGAAGCGCACACGTGGTCAGAGCCCCGAATCATCAGGGGTAACTCGGGTCAGGGCTACCTCGGGTTCGCTTTTCGGGAATCCGAACCCGAGTCACCCCGGGCCCGAGCTACCCCGGATGATTCGGGCGTCCAGAGCCCCAAATCATCAGGGGTAACTCGGGTCAGGGCTAACTCGGGTTCTGCTTTCGGGAATCCGAGCACGAGTTACCCGGGGCCCGAGTTACCCCGGATAACTCGGGCGCCCAATTTGGATTCAGGCGCGTGGATCGGCGGCAGGTCCCGTTTCCTTGCAGAGTCGGCGTGCTCCGTCGCCAAATCGGGCCGCGCTGGCCGCGTGTTTCTTCAAGGGTGCTCTCCGCGGTCTGTGGACTTGGCGCCCACGCGCCAGATCCACGGATACGTAATCCAGGTTTGCGTTCGCCCGAGCATCTTCCCCTACAATCCCTTCCCGCGAGGCAGGGATTCATCAATCTAGCCGCCTGCGGCCGCCATGCGGCAAGGCCCGCCACCGTGCCTGCCCAGCATTCTGGGGAGCGACTGCTCTAGGGTGGGAGAGCCGGCATGATGATGAAGAGGAGGAGGCGGATGAGGATGAAGATAAGGATGGGGATAATGGCGATGATTGTGGTGGTGATGGTGATGCCGATGGTGATGTTGATGGTGATGTTGCTGAGGTTGATGATGCTGATGCTGATGGTGTTGATGATGATGTCGATGATGTTGATGTTGATGTTGATGATGATAATGAGTATGCAAAGGACGATGATGACGATGATAGTGATGACGATGATGACGATGATAGTGATGATGGTGATGCTGATGATGATGATGGTGGTGGTGATAGTGATGATTGTGATGGTCATGGTGCTGCTGATGATGATGATACTGATGATGATGCTGATGATGACGATTACGATGACGATGACGATGACGATGATGGTGGCGATGACGATGATGCCGAATATGCTGACGATGGTGGTGACGGCGATTGTGAGGTTGTTGTTGTTGATGATGATGATGATGATAATGACGATGATGATGATGATGATGATGATGATGACGATGATGATGATGATGATGATGATGCTGCTGCTGCTGCTGCTGCTGCTGCTGATGATGATGATGATGATGATGATGATGATGATGATGATGATGATGATGATGATGATGATGATGATGATGATGATGATGATGGTGGTGGTGGTGATGATGATGACGAGGAGGAGGATGAGGAAAAGCTGGAGACGGATGAGGGGGAGGATGAGGAGGAGGATTAGGTTGAGGATGATGATATGAGGGCGATTATGACGATGTTGATTGTGATTATGCTGATCATCATGCTGAATATGACGAGGAGGAGGAGGAGCAGCAGCAGCAGGTTTAAGAGCAGGAGGAAGAGAACGGCCGTCTTTAATCTTCACGAGTTGAGGGGCTCTCGTGGGACCCGTCTGCTCCGTCACGGGGCCGCCTCGGCCTCCTGTGAGGCAGTCTCGGGGCCCCCTTAGGGCCCTCCCGGGCCGCCGTGGGTGCCTCAGGCGCCGTCGTGGGGCCCTCTTGGCCGTGCGGTGGGTGCCTGGAGGCCGTCGTGGGGCAGTCTCCGGCCGTCGAGAAAGAGGCCTCTTACAGGGCCGTCGAGGGCCCCACGGGCGGCCCTCGCGGACCACCCGTGGGCCGTCGTGGATGCCTCATTGGGCCTTCGTGGGGCCCTCTCGAGTCGGGGGTGGACAGACCTCCTACCCTGACACGTCGATTAAGGAATTGGCCGTTTCGGTTCGCGAGAGGGCGTCGCGGCCGTCATTTTTGCGGGTCCGGGTCCGTCGGTTTCGGTCCCAGGTCCTTTTCATGAAAGGGAGGTTTACTAAAGGGAGGTTTGTCCACCGCCGATTGAGAGCCCCGAGGGCCGGTTTGGGGGGAGCTGTCGAGGAGGCTCCTTTTGGACGTATCGAGCCGACGGGAGCCACGAACGGCGAGACCGTGGCAATGCATTCGAACACCACGGGAAAGGATTTGGCCTTTTCGGGCCCTGTTGGGGGTCCTCCTGTGGCCTGCTTGGGTCCTCTTGGAAGCTTCCTGGGCCGCATTGAGGCTGCATGGGGCCGGCTTGGGGCCATCATGGGCCGTCGTCGGTCGAGGCATCTTTGGCCATCTTGGTGGCCTTGGTCGCCTGCATGGGCCGTGCTGGAAGCTCGGGACGCGGACCCGCCGCTTCCACCAGGGATCGTGACCTCGGGCAGGGGGCGGGATGCATGCGGACATCGCGAGCAGGGGGGGAGGGGGCGACAAGTTGTCCATCGTACAATTCGAAACAAGTCGCTCGGGCCACATACAATGTTGGGGCCCCTTGCTGGATCTGAGAGCCCTGCGGGGCAGCCCTTGGCATCCTTCCACGCCTAAGCGTGCACAGGCCACGGTGACGAATACCAGCCCCCCGGGGGGAATGATACGCGGGAGTTCGACAGGCGACGGGTATGCACAGATTCGGGCCTTGGCGGGGCAGCACATACATCCACACCCACCGCCTGTCGAGGTCCCTAGGGATCGATCATCCAGGCGGCGGTTCTGGATAATTCCTCGCCTCGCACTCTCTCAGAAGAGCCACCGGCATCAGCATGAACTTTGGATCTGCGAAGGGCCCCACTGGCGGCGCCTTCAGCGCTGCCTCTGGCGCGCTCCGCGCGCCAGGGAGAGGGGGTCCAGCGCCCATCCAGGGAAACCTGGGCGGACCTCCGAAAGTGCACGCTTACGTATTATGTCGGTATGTCTTAGTCTACTCTTCTCTGTTACCTCCCGTACACCCCCCCCCTGGCCCCCGAGTCTCGGATGTATTCCCCCTCCCCTCCCACACCCTCAATCTCGCTGACGCTTGTTGCGACCATGCATCGCATACTTACTACTCCCGCCCCATCCTCCCAACTCCTCTGACCCCCCCCCACCCAGCACCACGAAGCGGCCCTCCCCCGTTCGCTAGCCCTTCTCACACTTCTCCCCCCACCTTCACCACCCCCACGTCCCCATGCTCCTCTCGGCCTTCACTCCTCTTCACTAGCCCCACCCCTTCACTGGCATCAGTCTCCACATCCCGCAGCTCCTGTCCATGTCCTCCCCCTCTCTGCCGCGCACTCGTCCCTAGTCCATTGCCAGTCCTCCCTCGCCTCCACTGTGTTCCTCTACTTGCCATCGTTGTTCCTCCGCTCTCTACACTTTTCCATTCGCGCTGAATTTCGAGCGCGATGTGTTTGCTTGGCCAGAGCAACTTCATGCGTGCAGGCAGTCAGTCACGATGCAGTGTCTGGAGCCCGCGATGCAGTCAAGACGCGCGCAGGCAGTCACTGGTCGTCGGGACCTTGGCGAGCTACACCATTTTCAATCTGAATAGTGTGATTGTATCGCTTGTACGATCCTGTACCCCGCTCGCCCGCTTCCCGTTCAGAAGGAACACCTCGGCCTCTTGGGTACACCTCCAGACTCACCAGCTCGAGTCGGTCGCGGCGCCGCCTCTCCGCCCCGCCTTTCGTCATCAAGACTCGTTCGCTGGAGCTCCGCATACGTGTTCTAGTGCACCCGCCATCCTGCCTCACGGCTCAGTCTGCGGGTGCTCTGACATTCGGAGGCGCGCCGAGCGGTGGAAGTGAGCGAGGGGGGGGGCACGTTTTGTCCGAAGGCGGCGGGACTTCTCGAGAGCCACACGCCATCCTTCTGTGGCCTCGGACGAGGCTCAGAAAGCTCCCTTAGACGAGGCCATCCTTTTGTGGCCATCCTTTTGTGGCCTCGGACGAGGCTCCGAAAGCTCCCTTTTAGAAGGTCGGAGGCCCTCCGAGCCCTCTGGGAAGGCCCGGCCCCCTCTGCCTTCCCCCCTGGGCGAGCCGCCGATACGGGAACCTGGGCGCGCCGCCCATGCGCTACCGTCGCTCCGAGGAGGAAAACTTGGCATCGCTCGGACGTGTGCATTTTTTCTCGGCGAGAACCATCGAGGACCATCCTGGACCATCGAGCCAAAAAAACACGCACTAAACCGAAACATGCATGGGAAATGAACGTCCGAGCGAGCGGGAAATGGATGATACCGCCTACCCTTCGCCGGTTTCCCCCTTCTTCGGCTTGTGGGAAGGCCCTCGTCGCCACGGCCGGATTCGCCTCGGAATCCGGGTCAGAACGCACCCCAGGAGAGGTTTGGGAAGTAGCGGTATCGGTACTTTTCGGTTCCCCAAATCGCGTGTCCTTGTCAAGCAGAGCTGCTCCGAGTCCTTGCTGTCTGTTCAGATCTGCGTATCCCTCCAGCGCCCTGCTGTGTCCATGTCCCCACCTTCCTTGTCTGGCATGCCGACGCACCACATTTCTTCGCTGGCCTAGGCAATCCTCGATGGCCGAATGGCACCGAGGCTGTTCATCAGAAGTTTAAGCAAATTCGCAATCGGCGTCTAGAACACTAGGGCCGGAGGCCTGGAAGTTGACACCAACACCAACATCGTTTTACCCCTGTGGAGGCAGACCCCTGTGTTGGTGTCGGTGCCAGTTTCCAGGCCTCCGATAGGGAAGTGGTCGGGGTAGCATCCTGGGGAGGAAGAAGTGATTGGCTCTTACTCATCTCTCTTACCCTCCTCTCTGCCCCCCTTCTACCTCAGGTTTCCTCGAGGTGTGCCGTGGCTTCCGCCTTGAAGCGGGTCACCAAATTTGACGAGCAGCTCCACTCTCGGCCGTCAGGTAATTAGTACCACACGGATGGATGTCCAGGCAGGGGGGTACGGGTATTTTCTCGCAGCCCAGCTAACTGTTTAAGAATTGTGTTGGAGCACCGCTCCCAGGATGCCGAGGCAAATTTTAATGTTGCGACATGGTCTCCCGACGACCAACTAGCGGCGATCGCTGCACGTGGGCGCCCGATTTTTGAAGGCCTGCCCCGAGTCGAGTTTGTCATCGTCACCCTCTAATCCAGCGACCCTCTAATCCAGCGACCCTCCATCTCTCGGCACTCCCTCCCCGCCCTCTGCCTTCAAATTCCTGTGTCACGTTGAGCGTGTTTGCAAGGCGGGTTTCCCGATGGGCTGTTATCGGAGCGTTCAGCTCGTCTTGACACGCTTCTCAAGTCTCTTGCCGCCTCAGCCGTTGTCTCGGCGAGTACTCGAGGCATGGCAGAGAGGTGAGAAAAGCGGGGAAAGTTGGCCTGATTGCACGTGTGCATGTTCCGGTGTTCGTTTTGAGTGCGCAACCGTCAAGAAATCATGTTGGCGTCCGTGCGACCGTGCCTGGAGCATGTCCAGCAGAGACGGTTGGCTTGAGGCGTTGGCATGCCACAGGTTGGTGCTCTACGTGTCGTGTTCGTTCGGACTGGCTCGCCTGGCCTGAGCCAGTCATGCGCTGCGCATCGCGGTCAGGGCAGACACATCTGGCAGTTCATGTAAAGAGGAGCGTCGCGTGATGGACGGGTGCAGGCATGCACTGGCACGCGTTCAGCACATGACTGCGCATTACAGAGACACGGACGCTTGCGCACACGGGTGCGAATGGCCCCAGCTTCGGATTTGCACGTCTCGTGGGGCGTGAGCTTCGTACGTCTCCTGCTCACCCTGGTTCGTCATCGTGCGGCATGTCGTCCACATGCCCACACGTGCAGAGCCTGGAGCACCGGGAGGGCGAGGAGGAGGCCGCTGCAAGTGGAGGACCGTGCCTGCCCGCGCTCTGCTGGAAGGCGTGCGGGTATATTTTTCGGCGGGTCCGGATGTCATTCCTTGGCATCGCTTGGACGTGTGCATGTTACCCTCGTCGAGGACCATCGAAGAGCATCTTGACCACCCCACGAAAAAATAAAAGCACGGAATTGATAAATGCACGGGAAATGGACGTCCGAGCGATGGGGAGATTCTTGGGAGGTCAAATTCTGATGTTCCCGTTTGGTCCGCGGCCCAATTTGGCGTAGCAGCCCCCCAGTGGGGCTTAATCTTCTTTCATCCTTCCGGCGAAGACCTCCCAGTAGTTGCCTCCGGCTGCGGGTGTTGGTGTTCTATCGACCTGCTCGACTTGCGGCTCTTGAGTCTTGCCTGCCCCTTGCTACAAAACTGCCCATGTTCGTACTCGCGTGTGCCAGCGCACAGGACAGACTTGCTCCGCATCCGTGCATCTGCGTGTATTTGTACACGTTTTATCGTAACCGTTTTTCTCGGCGGCGAGCCCATGGGGGAAATGAGAAGGAAGAGGCCTCAGAAGGCTCGGAAGTCCACCAGCCTTCTGAGAAGTTTTCCAAGCCCTCCCGAAGACACAATTTCTCAGGAGGCGCGAGGGCTTTGAGAAGCCCTGCCGCCTTCTGAGAAGGCCTTCTCCTTTTCATGTTCCCCCCTCGCTCGCCGCCGAGCCTCGCTTCGCAGCCGTGCATCTGCGAGTACTTGTGTGCGTTCCATTATAGCTGCTTTTCAGCTCATGAAACTGACGGGTACCCCCACCAATTCCACCGAACATTCATAGAGTTCTTAGGTGTTCGATTATGGACCCATGCTTGAGCACAACCATCTAGCTTCCGCGCAGAAGACCGCTGGAAACCGCCAAAGATCGCCGGGACCGCCCGCCGAAGACCGCTGGAAACCGCGGAAGACCGTCCGAAGACCGCATAAGACCGCCCAAAGACCGCCCGGGAGCAATGGGCAACAGGGGGGCCATGGTCGAGCACGCAAGACAGAGTTTGCTCCCCCGACGCCTCGCCGCAATCCCCACAAGCCCACAGTGGCTCCCGGGATTGGTCTGGTGGGGTGGCGGCTGCTGGAGTCCACGGTGTCGTGTCGCGGCGGACCCTTTGGAGTTCAACAGAATTCGTGAAGTTAGTCGCTCCGTCGCTCCACCTGAAACTACACTGTCTTGTAGAAGTCGATCAATGCAGAGGAGGCATGTTGCCAAGCAGTTTCCAGATGTCGAGATCATGCTTCAAACATGCTTCTGAAGGGCTCAAACATGTTTTAAACATCATTCCGAGCGTTAGAGAAACATGTAGAAGACATGTAAAACACATGTGGCCGCTCCACCTTTAACTACACCAACCCACCCAATGTGAGAGTGTGTTGTTTACCCTCTGGGCCATGGCGCGCATTATGCCCCCTGCCCTCCCCGCGCCTCCCCCCATTCCAATAAGGTAACGCTCCCCCCTCAGTGCGTCCCCGACACTGCCGCAGTGCGTCAGGCACGCCAGTCTGGGGAGGGGCGGTTGCTACGGTATGCCCCGTCCCGTCCCCCCCTCCCCCCATAACGCCCGTTATGACCGCGAATAAAAAAGGCGCCATTCCACGAACCCCACCACTCCTTGAAGGAATCGATGAAGGAACCCACACCAACTACTCACAGCGAACTCAGTCGGCCCCACCGAAACGGCCAGAGGAGTTGTTGGGCCGTGGGAGGATTCCGCCCGCGATTCTTCACAGCGAACTCAATCGACCCCACCAATCCGGTCAATGCGTGACGGAGGACCCGGCCCCAATTCCTCGCCACGCCCAACCAAATTTCAGCAGGCGAAGAACGGTATACAGTACATTTTTCCGCCGTCGGGGGCGCCTGCCCCTGGGCGGCTGGAAAGTTTATACCCCTACGGTGCCACCGTCAGGGTGTACGCTTTCCAGCCGCCCTGGGACAGGCGCTCCCGACAGCCAAAAAGTTTGTTTTCTACCGTTCTGCGCCCGTTAAACTTCCACCGACCCCAGGACCGGTTCAGGGTGGGAGCATCGGCTTGGCATCGGCGACGCAGCTCCGACAGATCGGCGGCAGTGGGCGCCGGACGGGGAGGCCGCCCACTCCTGGGGCGGGGCGGGGCGACGAGAGTGGGCGAGTGGTGGAGCTGGGGTGGGGCAACCGGCTCCAGAGACCTCACGTGAGCCCTCGCCCCGACGCCACGCGCAAGGTGCCCCTGGCTGTAGGTCGGGCATGTCCCTCTACAGGAGGAGTATTCAAGAATGGTTTTTTGTTGTTCTGCTATGTTTGATTATGTTGGGGCATGTTTTGACTATTTTTGATTCTTCGTCCAAAATCTATATGTAGGGGAACATGCCCGACCTAACACTGGCTCCACCGTCCCCAGGGGCTGGTGGAGCTGCAGCGGCTTCCTTCAAGGGTCGGCGGAGTTGGTCGGTGTTGGTCGCCCCGTCCCCCGCTCCGCTAGCTCCACCATTCCGAGGAAGTGGTGGAGCTGGCGGAGTCCGCCGTGCGGATCATCCAAGCTGAACGGGCCTCAGGAGTCGGTGGAGTTCGTGGACCCTTCTCCCCCGTCCTCCGTCTCCCTCTTCGGGGGGGGGCTTCATTTTCCAAGCATTCTCCCCGGCAGGTGATGCCGCACGGCCGTCTCCCCAGACATCGAGGTCGTGTGTTCTTCAAAACGTGGCTCTCCAGACGAGGTCTGGACCCCTTCCCCCAGAGCCTGTAAGCGCCCAGTGAGGGCCCCCGCAGGCCGAAAATGGTTCAGACTTGTCCGTCGTTATTTTTGTTCGCGACGTGAGGATGCCAGGTCCTTGGGGGTCAAACGTTTCTGGCCGATCATGTTCCAGCGAGCCTCCTGGCGAGAGTCTGAAGCCAGAGATCCAGCCGTGGCGGCGAGGAGTCCCTTGGAGGCCCCCAAAAGGAGCGACAGATCCAAACATCTGATGTCCTGGGTTTCTCAATGCACGCCTGTCGTTGAAAGTAAGTGTGTTTTGACATCCAGATCCCAATCTATTTGAGGCGCCTTCCTACTTCGAGAGCCTTTTCGTTCCTCTCCATTGGGTGGGCGGAAACCCAAACTACTTCAACGCCTTCCTACTTCATGCTTCTACCCACCTCTTCCGACCGACGGGTACGGGTCAGGAGAGGAAGAACAACAGGCACAGATAATCGTCGATCCTTCGGAAAACACAGAACATACGGGAAGTGGTGGGGAAGACGACAGCCCAGAAGATGTAGAACAGATCGGGGATCCTGGGATTCGTGTCTCTTCATTCGTGTCCCTGGGCCCCTTCAGCGCGGCCCCAGTCCCCACCCCTTCCCCGCATCCTCCCCCGCGGCGTCCTGGGACGGTCCCCGCGGGGCGCGGCGGGGGCCCCCTCATACGAGGCCGAGAGCATCCTCCTCCTCTCTCTCCTGCTCCTCCTCCGAAAAAATCTTGCTGCTCGCCCCGAGGGCGCCCCCTCTGGCGCGCAGCCGGCGCCGGCTCGGGCCTTTGAGGCCGGCCGGCCGCGCCAGGCGCCCCTCGCGGGGCGCCGCCGCCCCGGCCCGGTGCGCGCCGTGCTCCCCTGGCGCTCCTCCGCGCCTCCGCCGCCGAGGGGGGGAGGCGTAGCGCGAAGTCGGGCCTGTCCCTCTGCAGGAGGAAGTCTGCAAAACTAGTTTAAAAACAGTCAGGGGGCGATTTTCCAGTTTTTCCTACTATTTTGGAAAATGTTTGGATTGTTTTATTGTCGCCCAAAAACCGCCTGTAGGGGGTCATGCCCGACCTAGGTGTAGCGCCCAGCAGCGTTGGGCCGCCCAGATGTGGTCGAGGCGCAGTGGAGACCCAGGGCTCGTGTCGATATTTTCTTTGCTCCGTTTCGAGATGCGATTCTATAGGCTTACGCCACATCCGCCGACCCCTATATCAACTATTGCGCCTGCAGGACTGCATTTCACGAGGCTTGTCCGAATCATGACACGGCGCTCGACATCGTTATTGTTGCTTCGTTGCTGTTGTTGTCGTACCTCTTGGTGCTCTTTTGTGGCCTGGTGGCATCTTGGCCTGTCTGCAGGCCATATCTTGGCCTGTCTGCAGGCCATATCCGGCCGCCTCGAGGCATCTTGGGCCAAGTTTTGAGGCCTCTTGGGGGGCTTCCTGGGGGCTTCTTGGAGGCCTTTGAGGTTCTCTTGGGGGTCCCTCAGGGCCTCTTGGGGTGTTCTCGGGGCAGGCTGGGAGCGTCTTGGGGCCGAAGGCTCGAAAAAGGTGCCCTCTGGACACCCTCTTGGAGCCGTCTGGGGGCCCTCTTGGGCTGTCTTGGGGGCTTCGTGGGCTGTTTTTGGACCCTCTTCGACCCCTCTTGGGAGCCCCTTCGGCCGTCCGGGGGCGATATTGAAGGTTCTTTGCCCGTCTTGGACGATGTGAAACCCGAAAAGGCGAGCATGCGAAAAATGTTGTTTCTTTTCCTAGGGAATAGGACGATTTCTGTTTCTTGGGACCCTCTTTGGACGCGTCTTGGGGGCCTTTGGGGGGCGTCTTGACAGCTTCAAAGGCCGTCTGGAGGCCATCGTGGGCGTCAAGGAGCGATATTTCGGCGATTCGTGGCCCTCCGGGACCGTCTGGGGAGCGTTTTGGTGCCCTCTCGGCCCGTTTTCGAGCCCTCCGCTCCCCCGTGGCGCATTCGGTCCAGTGTCGGGTTCGGCCAGGGGGGGGGGTCAAATTGCCGGTTTGGGGTGCCTGGGGGGGGATAATGGGGGGATAATCTCACACGCCTGGAGACCCACACGGGGTCGGTGGATGACGGGAAGCGCGTGCGAGGAACGAGGAGCGTGGACCGTTTTTCTCAAAGAATTCTTTATGTGAGGCTCCGCGCTGCACTTCGGCCGGGCGTCGGCGGATGACGGGAAGCGTCTTCGAGGAACGAGAAGCGAGCTGGACGTTTTGGCTGAATCCTCCTCATATCAGTAAGAGACCTCTTAACTATAGGGGGTGGCGGGGCGCACGGTATACAGGCTTAGCGGATGACGGGAAGCGTCTTCGAGGTACGAGAAGCAAGCGGGACGTTCTGGCTGAATCCTTGAGTATATATATATATATATATATATCTTTAACTATATGGGTTGCCGCGCTGCACGGGATGACGGGAAGCGTCTTCGAGGTACGAGAAGCAAGCGGGACGTTCTGGCTGAATCCTTGAGTAAATATATATATATATATCTTTATATCTATGGGTTGCCGCGCTGCACGGGATTTTTCGTTGGCGGATGACGGGAAGCGTCTTCGAGGTACGAGAAGCAAGCGGGACGTTCTGGCTGAATCCTTGAGTAAATATATATATATATATATATATATATCTTTAACTATATGGGTTGCCGCGCCGCACGGGATTTTTCGTTGGCGGATTCCCCAAAATGGCCATTTCGCTCGAGACATCCTCCTAAAATCGAGGTGTGGTCTGCCGTGCTCCTGTGTGGTCTGCCGTGCTCCTGTGGTCTGCCGTGCTCCCCACAGGAGCACGGCAGACCGCGCGCAGGAACCGAGAGGAGCACGGCAGACCAAGACGAGGAGCACGGCAGACCAGGCACTGAAACCGAGAGGAGCACGGCAGACCAAGACGAGGAGCACGGCAGACCAGGCACCAAGAGCGCCCTCAAGACGACGGAAAGGATGACCAAGACGAGGAGCACGGCAGACCAAGACGAGGAGCACGGCAGACTATGCCCTAAGAGTGCCCTCAAGACGGCCGAACAAGCGGGACGTTCTGGCTGAATCCTTGAGTAAATATATCTTTTCTTTAACTATATGGGTTGAGCACGGCAGACACCACACGAGCACGGCAGATCCCAAATGAGCACGGCAGACACAGAAGCACTGCAGACCACACAAGAGCACCGCAGACCTCACAGGAGCACGGCAGACCCCACAGGAGCACGGCAGACCCCACAGGAGCACGGCAAACCACAAAGGAGCACGGCAGACCACAGAAGCACGGCAAACCACACAGGAGCACGGCAGACCACACAGGAGCACGGCAATCCCCACAGGAGCACGGCAGACCGCGCACAGGTACAACATAAACGCGCCTTTTCTTGTACCCCGAACGCCGCTGGCGTTTCCCCCACAGGAGCACGGCAGACCCCACAAGCTGGCGGGAAACCCCAAATGAGCACGGCAGACCACAGGAGCACGGCAGACCACACAGGAGCACGGCAGACGCCACAGGAGCACGGCAGACCGCGCAGGAGCACGGCAGACCACACATGAGCACGGCAGACCCCACAGGAGCACGGCAGACCCCATAGGCAGACCACACAAGAGCACGGCAGGCCACACAGGAGCACGGCAGACCACACAGGAGCACGGCAGACCACAAAGGAGCACGGCAGACCACACAGGAGCACGGCAGACACAGGAGCACGGCAGCACCCCACAGGAGCACGGCAGAGCAGACCCAAAAGGAGCACGGCAGACCACACAGGAGCAAGGCAAACCACAGGAGCACGGCAGACCACACAGGAGCACGGCAGACCCCACAGTAGCAAGGCAGACCCCAAAGGAGCACGGCAGACCACCGGAGCACGGCAGACCACACAGGAGTACGGCAGACCCCACATGAGCACGGCAAATCCCAAATGAGCACGGCAGACCACAAGAGCACGGCAGACCACACAGGAGCACGGCAGACTCCACAGGAGCACGGCAGACCACAAAGGAGCACGGCAGACCACACAGGAGCCCAAAAACGCCACAGGAGCACGGCAGACGCCACAGGAGCACGGCGGAACCCACAGGAGCACGGCAGACCGCGCGCGGGTACAACATAAACGCGCCTTTTTGTTGTACCCCGAACGCCGCTGGCGTTTCCCCCACAGGAGCACGGCAGATCTCACAGGCGCGCGGCAGACCCCAAATGAGCACGGCCGACCACAGGAGCACGGCAGACCCCAAATGAGTACGGCAGACCCCAAAGAGCACCGTAGACGCCTCAGGAGCACGGCTGACCACACAGGAGCACGGCAGACCACACAGGAGCGCGGCAAACCACAAAGGAGCAAGGCAGACCCCAAATGAGCACGGCAGTCCACACGTTCGCACGGCAGACCGCACGCTCGCGGAGGGCCTCCGAACGGCCCAAGAGAAACCCCGAAGGCCCCCCAGAGGACCCCCAAAGCGCCCCAAGAGACCCCCAAGAGCCCCCGGCCCCCAAGACGACCCACGGTGCCGCCAGGACGGCCCAGGATGTCCTCAGGACGGCCTCGAGACGGCCTCCAGACGAACTCGAGGATGACGGGAAGCGCCTCCGGCGTGCACCGTTGGTTCTGGGGCTTCATTTTCTCTAACTAAGGGGTACGGGCCCGCACTTCGGAACTCGCTGGCGGCGGCCTGCGGCAGCAGAGGGACGCGGGCACCCCGAGCCAGCCGGCACGGGTCCTCCTCGTCGTCGTAGTCGTCGTCGTCGTCGTCGTGTCGTCGTCGTCGTCGTCGTCGTCTTCGTCGTCGTCTTCGTCAATGACGATCTCGAAAATTACGACAA